AAAAGACAAGTACTCTGGATGCATATTATTTCTCTGCTAGTTTAAGCATTTCTTAGGTCTATACCAATTTTTTTGCAGAGCTGGCAAAACTTTTTGAATGTTAAAATAAAAAAAAATTGCATTTGTTACAGGTAAAATTTGTTAAAATTTATTTTGTAAAAATCATATTGTTGGAACAATTGTGTCCAAAATTTCACGAATTAATGAAAATGTGTACTTTTTATGAATTTATGTATGCCTACAAAAACATTACTAATTTATTAAATAATAAAACTTATGTATGGTTTATTCTTTAGGTAGAAAAGAAAACACCATTTTTATATTGATCTACCTAAAGCCGTTTTAATTTTATGGCACTAGTCCACGAACTTTTTGATAACCCCTCGTATATATGACGTAAACAGAAAACAATTTTTGATTTTTCTAGCCTTCTTATTTAAATTGTTAAAAGGTGATTTTGAATATTAAATGTAGTAAATTATTTTTAGTTGTATCAAATAAATTATTACAATAGACAGATTAGTTAAATCGATGTTGTAACAATTATTTGAGTAATTTTTTTTAGGTATCAAATATGTCCTGTATGTGATGTAACTTAAAAAGTTTTGAAATTAAAATACAATCTTGATGGCATACAAATACATGAACCCTATAATCTATTCATCAGAAGAAACCTTTAAAGCAGAGTTTTAATTGTATATATAGCTTAATATGATTGCAAAACCTGCAATATGGATCTTTTTTACTGTCAGTTTATGTGTTAACTGTTTTCATATAACTTTCGCCTTATATTATTTTCTTTTCAAAATTTTATTGATTGTAGAAATGTTCTCTGAAATGTACAGGAGTTGGACATTCAGATATCAAATATATGTACATTATTATCTTTGAATTTAAATTTGTTCCCGGAAAAGCCATAGAATGACATTGTTATTATATAAAGCTTCATGTTTATTATCTTACTTAATGGAATTTCGTACTAGTGTTTGTGTGAGGATAAACGCTATGAGAATCCGATGGTTGCTTTTTCTGCATTCTCTTGGTTTTGATATTTTATATTGTTAAATTTACTACTATATTTAATAAAGTTGTAAATCAATATTATCTCATTGAATATACATTGTAAAAACTTCGTCTATAAAATGACTGTTTAAATACATATTCATACCTGTCGGTGAAAGTAAGTTGTATAATGATATGTAGACGATGCTCACACAATATGAATATCGATTATAATATGTGTCTCTACAACAAATTATTTTTATGGTATCATTGTTTACCTGAGTCACTGACTGTCAATTTTACTTACATGTAATTTGTAAACAACAAATAAAGGCATTCAAATTCTAGAAAAATTCATTGATCTCAAGAAGTAACAAAAATTCATTTTGGCCAAGCTTATTGGGATGTAACCACTAAAGGATTGGCTTGGTCGATAATGCATCATGTTCACCTGGAGATTTTTACGGTATTTATTAGTCCCATTCATAGTTGGAGATATTAGTAACGCCTAGCAAGGTAGCTCTGATCTGATGACACGGCACTTCGTCATCAGTCTGTGCTGAAACTTTTAGAGGTAAGGATTTCTCAAAGATACAGTAAGATTATTCGTAATCTTATGTCGGCTACTTCATAGTACATTTATAGCTTTATACACATTGACTTGCTTATGCTTGATAAAAGGCGATTCATTTATTTACTTTTCTCGATGGGTGAATAAGCGGTCAATTTCTGTCAGATTGTTAGACTCATGTTTAAGGTGGAATGCCACACAAACTTTTTATTTTATAGATCTTTGAGTCATCCTTTTTAAACAATGGTTACAGCATTGAAAGGTCGATATTAGCTCTTAATTATTTTATTTTGTGTTTTTTCAATGAAAATGAAAAAAAAAATCAGTTATATCCAAATAAGTTTTTTTCGAGTTAAAACTTTGCTGTAAATGAATGCATCATATGAATATCTAATAAAATATGTAAAGAAAGGCTGGTTAGTATTGAATGCCATATACGACAGCCAACTGCTAACTACCAACTGTCAGATGCTTACTGCCAACTGCCACACATATTTGAATAAATTTTCATATTTTCGTTGATATTCATGTGATTTATCTATGGAATATCATAGCCAACTGCTTACTGCCAACTGCTGACTGCTTACTGCCAACTGTCAGCTGCTTACTGCTAACTGCTCCCATATATTTGAATAAATTTTATTTTTATATTGATATTTATGTGAATTTTCACCCCCCCCCCCCAAAAAAAAAAAAAACAAGTGCGGATCCAAGAGGGTCAGTCATGTAAAAAAAATCCCACCCAGAAATTTCTTGACAAGAAAAAAAAAAGACTTTTCCTCAATGTAAAAAAATTATTTCGGCCGGGGAAAGGGGGTTCTCATGCGTCATACCTTCATGTCTATGGCATTTTTTATACCAACTTACACTGTAACACGAAGCCGCGTTTTCGGGGGAGGGGGAGGGGGAGGGGGGAGTTCTAAGGTCCCTTTTAGTTGATTTATTTTATACATTGAATAACTTTTAGTTGGTTTAGATTGTGCATTTAATAAATTTACAAATTTCAGAGGGGTGGTTCGGACCTCTCTCTCTAGATTATGCATGCAAAATATATCTTATTTGTAAAAACAAAGAGATATAAATGTTTGATCGGCGTTTTCTACGTGGAGGGTCCAAGATCAGTTTTAGTTCTTTTAGTTTATATTTTAACCCATGACTGTACAAATTTTAAATGCTCCACCCCACCCCACCCCAAGATATTTGCATGTAAAACATTAAAATACACAGAGAGTAGAATACATTTTTAATTTGAGGAAATTCTTAACTATAGAATATAATGGAAAATATGAATTTAATTTCAAAACATCTTTATCTGCGAAACGACAAATCTTTTTTTTTTTTTTTTTTTTGTTGATTTTCTCTCTTTAAAGGTTTTGTTGTCTCCGGGGTGGGGGATGGGGATGGGGTGTTACTTCTTTTATGATTAAAAGCAGAAAATGGTCAATTTATTACCTATTTCATATAAGAAAATAAAAAAACCCAATGTACTTTATCAATAGCATACTGTATATTGAATATTACATAAATTAAAACATATTGGTCATTTAGTCAATTTTGTTTTTCCAGGGTGACCTCTTGGAAATGTAATGGATCCGCGCCTTATGGAATGCCATATACGAAAGCCAACTGCTTACTGCCAAATGCCACACATATTTGAATAAATTTTATATTTGTATTGATATTCATATGAATTTTCACAAAAAGGGGGAAAAGGCACGGATCTAGGACATTTTTTTCCAAGGAGGTCACCCTGGTAAAATAAAATTTAATAATATTACCGATATGTTTTATCTTATGTAATATTCAATATATGCGGTTGATCGAGTACATTGTTTATGATTTTTTTTATTTGTTTACCTATGTGAAATAGGTAATAAAATGACTATTTTCTGCTCTTAATCTTTAAAGAAGCCCCCCCCCCTACTCCTCCGGAGACAACAAAATGTTTTCACTTGTTTCTTTAGTTCAACTGATCCAAAACCAGAGGAGTTTATACGACAGTAAAGTGCGCGTTGTCGGTCCGTTTATCTGTTAGCCTTTGTGGTACCCATCTCTTTTCCTCACTCCTCTTATATTACTGAATGAAATTATTTAGACTTCCACAGAGTCGTTGTTACATTATGCCTTTGTGCGCCTCCTCTTTTAAATTTTGCTCCGACACATATTTTGGGTATCCTACAACAAAACATGGGCACTGCCATTCTTTCTATAATATTCAAAGGTACCCATCTTCTTATTCGCAACTCCTTCCATGCAAGTGGGAAACTTTGATAATACTTTTACAAATTCTTCATTATATAATGCCATTGTTCACCTTCTTCTTTAATTTTGATCTGACACTAAGTTTAGGTCTCCCTCAGCAAAACACAGACTTTGCCATTATAATCAGTATTACAGGAAGGGTATCATTAAGTGAGCTCAATGCTCACAGTACCTCTAGTTTTGTTGTTTTACCTTCTTCTTGAAATAGTGATCTTGATGTCCGTCCGTCTGTTTAGCTGTACGTCCGTCCATCTGTTACTCTTTAGGGTATCCACTCTTATCCAAAACTCCTCTTGTATTCCTGAATGAAATTTAATAAGACTCACAGAATCCTTATCACATGATGTCATCGTGCACCTCCTATTTTACATTTAGATACGACATATATATTTGGTTTACTGTAGCAAAACATTGACACTTATTCTGTGAAAGTTTCATTAAAATTTATTCAGTGGTATAAGAGCAGTTGCGGATAAGAGTTGGGTGCCCTAAAACGAAACGGACAGACGTAGAGACACACGGACGGGCATTCCGATCACTATATACCCTTCCACTTTTCAAGTGGGGGTATGATTAAGTTTTTGTTTTCGTGGATGATATAGGCAAATCTCCTTAAACTTGGTCTCGAAATATTAACGCCTCAGATTTTATATTTCGGACAACATTCCTTGTCCTCGGACTGAAACATTCACGATAACGCGGACTTTATTACTTTAAGTGATTGAAAATGAAGTCAAAGTGTATTTTATGATACCGAGGCAAGGACTCCGTGATATTAATGTCTGACAGTACAAATGCAATCTTTCTAACACAGAGACTTTGAACATTTTTTCTGTCAAAGGAGAAATGAAAATATTTTTTTTGTTTTACACCCCATCCAAAAAATTGCGTTGTACTTCTCCGTTAAGCAAATAGAAGATTTTTTCTACATAAGTACCATGTGATTTAAACATGTGATTCAACCACGGAGAGAATTGCAAGTCAATATCTTTTTCTACCAATGAATTAGATCTTTTGCAAGGTTTGAAATTGTTTCTCAATCTATTATTTAGTTTACATTTCTTATATCACTCTATCTTTCCTTTCCTTCAATTTTTGGTTAAGAACTGCTAAAAATTAGCAAATAAAGCTTTTTACAACAACATATTTAATTATTTCATATTGTAACAGGAAAACAATTTCGAGTATTCTAATTGATTACTTTCTGTCTTTTGAACTTGTTGAAATATTAAACACTTTAAACTCTCTCACTCTCTCTTTGGGTTGAAATTGTACCTTTTCTCCTTTTTTTCCCTTTATTGATTACATCAGTCAGAGAATTATAACATTTATATTCCAACAAACTTCCTGAGGCAGTCTCTGTCATCACAACAGTATATTTCGGCATTCCCCGAAGTTGTTTTCATGTAACGACAGTCTTCCCTCTGTAACAATAAAGATAGAACTAAGTTAATCATATTAACTAAGAATTATTAAATGCATGTCAAATTGGGCACATGAAATAATGAAGCTTTTGAGGTCTGATGCTTAGATTGTAAATTTCATTATTCGATTTACTTGAACACAGTGTACTGTGAATCGAAATCCGTGGTCTGGAGACCTCGCCATGCAGCATTGAGATGTAGAGCATGTCGTGTTCCAAACACAGTTAAGGTCATCATCACAAGATGGACAAGGTGTGCCTTAACAAAAAGCCAGAACACCAATTAAAGTCTACATTATATATACAGGATTTCCTAGAAACTCATTTTTATGCCCCCGCTTTGAAATAGTACCGACAAGAGCTACCAAGGGAACTTAAGGTTTTAAATGAATTGTCCATTTTGAACTGAGCTATAGCCCATAGACTGCGACGATTTCTGTATTGTTTTCCGTACTTCTTTTATTGTATTTTTGTCTGAATAAGAACAAGTTAAATGTTTATTGACCCAATGCACGTATTCTTAGAAATAAGCAAGGCTAAATAAAATTTGGAAAGCAAAAGCTAAAGCTAAAAATCTGATTTTTTCAATATTTTCTAATGAAACATATGGAGATAACGAGAATATTCAAGGTCAAAAGTCCATAAAACAATACAAAATAGGAGCAGACCAAACACAGACATCCAAATCATTAGAAGAATAAGGTGCCATTAAGGAGTGAGCATCCCCTAACGACCGGTCACACCCGCCTAGTGCGCCTCGTCATAGTCGGGAAATAACGGAAAATATCCGTCGTCAGTGTATAAATAATGAACTAACAATTGGTAGGAAAATCGTCAGTCAGCATTTGACCAAATGATTAATTGTATTAGCTGACATGGTCATTGTATCGACCATAGAACTTACTTAATGATGACTTTTAATGAGACTGCTAAAATTTTTGTTTCATCAACTTGTTTATATTTAATTTACCTCGTAAGAAATTGTTAATACAAAGAGCATGCTCTCGTATCGATCAAGTGAGATATACATGTATAAACTCCGAGCAACTATGAGCAAAGAATACAATAGTACTGGAAATCGGTGTTCATGCGGGTTGATACATTTTGTATTGACACTGTGAGCACTTCTTTTAAAATAAATGATAACACAACGATCCCTTTACCCGATTAATACATAGGACACACGACAGATATTTATTATCTTTTTGCACACTATCAGTGCACATGAATTTTAGTTATAATTGTAAACTTAAAACATTTTTGTGACGTCATCTTTTGATCAACCTGGCTCAATAAATTTGTTATTGTCCTGCACCCGTCCAATAAGTTACCTGTAGGTGTCCATGCAATAAGATTCAACTTATTGGACAGGTACATATAACATTCAAATGACAACAAAGGGCGAGGCGAATAAATAAACAGCACTTAATGACAGGCAATGACAAATCAAACAATATAATATGGACTATGTAGGATATTAGTAGTGTAAAACATTAATATCTCACCAAAATCCTATTGGTATAATAGCAAAAACAACTACAGTGAATTGAGGATTCACATTCAATATTGTAGACGCATTTTTTTCTCCGATCATAAATTTCCTAAATTCACCATTTATTGCTATAATAGATTCATTTCATATGAAACATACTTAGAATACAAGGGCTTTTTAAATATCCTTTTTTCCGCCTTTAACACAAAATTTCTCTAAAGAAATTCCAACGGAATCTGTAATTTCGTTCGGTGATTTATGACCATTTGTCGTTTTATGACCATTTGTCCATCTACTCCAGCGTTTTTTGAACGTGTGTCTGTCGTTGTTTTAAGGGTGGATGGAGAAAAATCCTTCCGAGTTCGAATCCTGCGCACGAAAGAGGTACTGTTGCATTTTTATAAAAAATAAATCAGAAATAATCTCCCAATTTCATAGAAAAATAGAGCTTAAAGAGCTCCTTTTGCTTTATGAAAAAATACCTTTAAATGAGAAACTGCTTTTTTGCAAATTTCGAACATAGGAATATATATCCGAATTTCATACTGTAAAACTGAACTGAAGCATCTTGGTGTACATATACATGTAATCGATAAATGGCATCGTCTTTTAAAACATCCTTTTCTGTGGGTCTTTTTTTTTCAGAGTGAAAATCTACGTTGTCATCCGTGGTCGTTGCGTTGTGAAATGAATGAAATGTCAAGAATTTACCAAAACTAACTTTTACGCATGTGTAGTATATATAAAAGTGTCCCAATGCAGATAAATACTACAAAACAAAGTTAATGATCATTATTATCGAAATAAAAAACCTCTCGAGATGATCCCTTTTTTGTAAAGACAGAAGAAAAACAAAAACTGGTTTTCTTTGGCCTAACTTGATGAACAGTGCCAGGTAGTCATCCAAGCTGAACAAGACCTTACCTTCGAGTGCATAATAAGTTGATGGAAGTGTTCGACAGTGGTGAAATGTTTGAAGTGAGTTAGAAACCTCAAACTGACCATTATGTCAGATATTAGATCTCTATTATAAAATTGGTGATGTTATTATCAGGAATGAAGAGATAACAGAAGCAGTGGAGAAAATGAAAAACGGTAAAGCTCCTGGCCCTCACAAACTCGTCATTGAACACCTGCGTTTTGTGCAAAACATTATTCTAGAAATCCCAATGGAGCTGTTCAACGTAATCCTAAACAATGAAAAATATCCAATACAATTCAAAAGAGGAGTAACTAAACTGAAAGGAAAAAGAAACCAACCGCAGGGTAAAATTATGTTTTTTTTTTTATTCCAGCTCTCGAATGAAAAAGAACTGTCGAAGGAATTTACATTACAGCAAGGTGTCAGAAAAGGAAGGGTACTATCGTCGTAGTTTTTCTTACCGTTTCACGAATTGATAGAAATGCTAGATAAAAGTGTGACTGGATTGTGTGTGTGTGACCTGCACATTCCAAGTTTTATTCTGGCTGACGACACTTCTTATATCCAATACTCCAAATGCTCTCCAGAAGCAACTTGATATTGTAAACAATTACGCTAGACTTTGGCACTTGCGTTATAATCCTGACAAAAGTTGTGTTCTCATCTTTAAGCTCTAGTAGAAAGCGGCAAAAACAGCCTATTGCTTGACCATTTATTCTTGGTCAGGAAAACATCAACCGGCATTCAGAGGATGTTTATGCTAGTTTCGTTCTGATACAGCAATCACACAAGCATACAGGAAGTTAAAGCACATTAAACTCGCTTATCAACATACATGTAGGAGTTCATAATCACGGTATACATCCTATGACCAGCGTAAAATTATGGACAGTTGTCATGACATCGATCTTGTATGGATGCGAATTATAGGATGTGATCTCCAAAAGATCGAAGAGCTGGAAATTGTACAGCGATACGCGGCCCGTCGAATGCAAGGATTTTACCAAAGATCACCAACACCGTGCACCATCTTGCACCATCTTTTCCCTTCGCCTGGTTATAATGAAAAAAGTGTAGATTTATTAAAGTTGATGTAATGGAACAGACTTTGTACAACAAGCTATTCCTTATTTTACAAAATATAACTATAATAGCTTTTCATTGCAAGGTTGTGCGCTTTTGTTTCGGCAACACAAAGGCCAAAGGGTGGATTCCTAGCAGATATTCACTCCATAATGAGGGATTACAGCATTGATTTCTTTTTCAGAGAGTACCTTTTGAATCGTGACGTTCCTCCAAAATACACCTGGAAACAATTCGAAGGAACTGTAGTTGAATCTGCTGCTAAATATGAGTGGAGGGATAATTCGATTAAAACAGAAATACATGAACAATTATAAACTCATCCCTTTTGGCTACTCGGATTGAAACTTCTGAAACACACGTCGTGGAATCTAGCTTCAGTAATTAAACTCTCGGTCAACATCGTTAAAGAGGACGTTAACTGCAAACTGTGTACGCGTACAACAAGTGATATTGCAGTGCATTTTCTCCTTAAATGCCCAAAGCTATTTGCTAGCAGAGACAGCTTGATGGACGAAATAGTAAACACGATAAATGTCCAATCTTACGTTAATCTCGCAAATAATAGTGACGACGTAATCGCTGACACCATTCTTGGATAAAGGCGTGGTTCTATTGTACCTGGGGAGGGGTGGGAAATGTTTATGCTTGCTGTTGCAACTGGTGTTGCGCGTATGATGACAGAAATGAACACTTACATACATGAAGTATAAAACTTCAAAATTTGATAAATTATGTACATAGTGTTTAAATTATGGACAGTAACTTGTGAACATGTTCATATTTCCTCATTTTTTGTTCTAAATTCAAATCTTGTTACATATTTATTAATTTGATGCATTCATCTCTGCTGCAAAGGGAATAAAGAATGTATGTCTGTCTGTCCAACTAAACAGTTGCAATCTCTTATCTCTTTCATCCACACACTCTGCACATAAATAAATAATGCAATATAATATTTAAGTTAATTCCTACATAGATGTTATTACATGATCACTTTGTAATACAATTTCTCTTAAACGCTTTGAAAATATTTTAAAGTTATTGAGGAAAGATGAATTATATCATTAATAAAAAGACTTCCAATGAATACCGTAGTCAGCGAGTTGTTTATCGAAGGCTTTAGTTCAACAAATAAAGACTTTTCATTATATACCTGGATTTGTGGAAGGAACTGAAGTTGATGTTGGTGATATTGCTGAATTTGATGTTGGTGAGGCTGCTGAAGTTGATGAGGAAACAGATGAAGAAGATGCAGTAGATACAATTCTAGTAGTGGATTTTGATGTTGTCGTTGATGAAACTGTGGATGATTGGGTTGTTGTCGGGATTGGTGTATAATTAGTTGTTGACTTTGAAGACACAGAAATGGATTGTAATGTTGTTGTCGGTACAGATTTTGATGTTGATGATTTTGAAACTGTCGTGGTTGTATCTGGCGATGTGCAAAAGTTGCGATATTTTGCTAAATTTTGACTTCTTTCATTCATCAGCGTATGTTTTAATACTACTTCAATTAAAATGGTATATCCTTAAAAATGCAACTCAGTTAAAGTGTCGGTATTCGAACACCATAAAAGCAATGTTTATGCATACATTTCTGTGCGTGTAAAGACATTTGTTGACGTTTTTTCATGAATAAAAAATCAGACACTTTGCCACATTCTAGGGGGTCAGTATCTGAATTTTGATGGTCGATGCTGAACTTTTTCCGTCATGTCATTTCTATAAATTAAAATAACATATACAAGCACTTATGAATTCTGTGGCCTTGTGAAAGTTGGACTTAGAGTCACTTGAGATTCAAAGACAATGAAAACACGATGAGTTTTTCCTATACCTTGTTTTTGTATTCTCTGAATTTTCTTTTCGTAAAAAAGAAAACACTGCAGACTGAATATAGTCAGAGCTAATTTTGAAATGATTTTCGAGATATGTGAAAACATAAGCACTTTGAACAAAAATGATCATTGCTAAGGGTTTGTTTAACACTTTTGTATGAATTTGCGTCATTATAAGAAATAAAATATAGATTTATGATTTTAGTTCAGTTTCATTTCTAACAACTTCTAGTGCAGAAAATGGTAGATGATACCTGGTGTTAGTCCACAAACAGAGCTGTGATGTGTAAAGACGTTCAGTTTTGATAAAAATAAATCATACAGTGTGAGACGTTTTCTGGGGCCAGTGTTAGAATTTTAATAGTCGATGCTGAACCTTTTTTCCCGTCATCTCATTTCTGTAAATTATATTAACGAATACATACACCACTAATAAATTCTGTGTGTAAGTCCTTGAACTTAGAATCACTGAAGATTTGAAGACAATGAATACACAGTGGGTTTTTCTATTGTTTTTGTACTCTTTGATTTTTATTCTTCATAAAATATGAAACACAACAGAATGGATATTCCTAGTCCTAGTATTGAAAAAAGGGCTGGAGAAATAAATAAAATGGGCCATGTAAACATTTGATCTTAGCTAAGGGTTTATTTAACTTTTTTTTTGAAACTTATGTCATTATAAGGAATAAAATAGAATTAATGACTTTAAGTTTAGTTACAATCCTAATGTTTTGGACGCCCAGTGCAGAAAATGGTAAAAAAAATACCTGGTGCTAGTCTACAACTACAGCTGTAATTCTTGTGTTCAATATCAAAGTAACATAGACCAATCAGTCCTTCGGGGCAAATACAATGCTTGTGTTCTGTACAAACTGAAACAAAATATTTCAATGTACTTGATTTCCAACAATATAAACCAAGAAAGTAAATGAAGGGGAAAATACGGTTGGTTGTGTGTATTTTGTGTTAAGCTATTAAGATTAATTAGGACAATTGGTTTTTATCTATCAAATAAACATCCAAATTGCTGGGTTTTTTTTTTTATCTAAAACATATTTTGATTTTTTTTTTAATTTTCAGAATAAAAATTTATTTTTTGACATTCTACAGAAATACTACTACTACAACATTAAAGCCGTTTGGTCCGATTCCAATCGCTAAAAATATATATTCGTTTTTCTTCTTGAAAAATATTTGTCCATTAATTGTTTCAACTTTTGTCAAATTATATCCCTAAAGTCTTTTTCTTTTTAAAAGATATCAAAATTCAAAAGTTAAAAAAATAATTTTTGTTAGGTCACACAAAAAATAATCCTATGTTGATCATTGTTGCTATCGCATGAAATTACCTTCGAAAAATTAAATTTATCGCTTACATGTTTATCTCATGAAGAACAAACCCGAGCATTTTTTTTCACAACAAAGTACATATATTACCTGTACATGGACAATATTTTAGCTCCTTTAAAAAATCATTTAAAATATCTGATTTTCCTTTCTCCTCGAAATATGCATATCAATATAAAAATTACTAAGGATTATATTCAATTAATTACTTAATTTTGAAAAGATGTATTATGACTAAGACTTTCTACTAATAGAGAAAAAAATAATCGGGTTTGAATTATCTTCAATATTAGATATATCCGATAAACTTATTTTTTTTCAAAATTGACTTTACAACAGATCTTAACTTCCGTCAGGAACTACTGTTTGTCAATAAGGTTTTTGATCTGCGTTTTCCATGTAAGGATTGTTGTAATAAACTATTAAATCAATCTTATAATCTATTTTTATATATTATCTATGTAATGACGTACTTTAATTGTGTATGATAATATGTGCCTGTTTCGGGTTAAGCGGCTTTAACTGAGTTTTCTTTTCAAATTATTAGGTCTTTCCACCTTTCTGTGGAAAGACCTCTTGAAATGCTTATGTTTATTATTATTCTTCTTCTTCTTCCCGGACTTTTGAAACCGCAAGACTTATCGAAAATCTTTATAGTTCATGAAACTGGATATCAAAAGTTATTCTGAAAAACGACAGCCCTTGTTCGAACTTTGACCCCTTTCGAAGTTATTTCCCTTTACGCAAGAAAAGCTTGTTATCGCTACTCCTCTGAAACTGTAGACCGTATAGACACCAAACCTTCACTAAAGTCTTCGACTAATTGAGAGGACTCTGGAATCTATTCATTGCGAAAGTATTCGGTGACTCCTTCAATGAGTTATTGCCCCTGAAACTTTTTGAATTTTAGAAATTATTAAAAATTTTCAAAACGAGAAGTGATAGAGACATGGGACCAATTGCATAAGATTCATTGAGCTTTGAGCTTAAAATTCATGTAAAGGTCAAAGGTCAAGGTCATTCCAAAATTGAGAAATTAAGCTCTTTTTATATCTTTTTTGTCTCTTAACATATACAAACTGGCTTAGCATCATTAATATGTACTCTTAAAACTATTTTAAAGATTTAATTTGTATTCCGTAAGATTGACTCTATTAAAAATTATTGCTCTTTGTGCGGAAAACCTTGTTATCGCTACTACTGCGAAACCATAAACCGTACAAATATGAAACCTTCACTAAAGTCTTGGACTAATTGAGAGGATTCTGGAATCTATTCATTGCAAAAGTCTTCGTTGACTTCTTCAATGAGTTATTGCCCCTGAAACTTTTTGAATTTTAGAAATAATTAAAAATTTTCAAAACGAGAAGTGATAGAAACATCGGACCAACTGCATAAGATTTATTTACCTTTGAGGTTAAAATTCATGTAAAGGTCAAAGGTCAAGGTCATTCCAAAATCAAGAAATTAAGCTCTTTTTATATCTTTTATGTCTCTTAACATAAAGAAACTGTCTTAGCATCATTAATATGTACTCTTAAAACTATTTGAAAGATTCAATTCGTATTCCGTAAGATTGACCCTATTAAATGTTATCACCCTTTGTGCAGAAAACCTTGTTATCGCGGTGGAAGGTGGAAAGACCTCTTATTGTTCTGTGAACAATAAGTCTACTAGTTATTTCTACTTTTCTTGTCACAGTTCTTTAAAATGACATAAAAATAAACAAGCGAAAGAACGAAAAAAAGACAGTTAATGAAAGTTTTGCAACATTTAATACCTAGATCTCCCTTTTATTTCTTTTATTTCCCCTTTATTAAAACAAGAAAGTAAGAGAGAGAATTCACCTGTGCAGTGACATATTGTTGAATATTCGTCGAATTTGCAGTAAGGGTGTTTATCAGAGGAACATATGTGTCCACTGCAGTCAGTATGATAATGACAACCTGATGTTGATAGCGGATTCACGGTTGGTGAAGGGACGGATGTGGTTGTTGTAACTTCTTGAACGAATAAAAAGAGAATTACTGAATAGTTTTAATATAAATATTTCTTTTAAAACTATCCAGGTTTCTAAAATGAAAAATAAATTAGTTTTTAATTGATGATAGTTCATGTGGATACTAGAAGTCTTTGTGAGTAGAAAAATTAGGAATTTTACTGTGCTTAGTATAATCTATGTTTATTGTTTGAGTACATGTATTTTAATACATTATTAATATTTTAAGCAGATATTTTGCAATTGTATTTGATAGATGTTGTCTTCAATCAATCTAAGATTTTTCGGGTAGATTTCAGTTGTGAAATTTAACTCCGGAAAATGGGAAACATTTAGCCATTAAAGGCATGGTACAACCTTAAATTTTCCCATCCAAAAAATGTAAGTTATAGATACTGGCATTTTCAATTATTACTTAATTGAATGTTTCAAGAAAAACGTCTATCTCATGCAAGAACAGCATTTAGAATATGATAACAATTAATCTCAATTTCACGTACAACAAAATGAAAAAAAAGATCACATACAAATTGTCAAATTCTGTATGATTTTATTTTACAGTTGATGAAACAAGAATATAAGAAGTCTTGTCTTAAGGTATCAAATCGTAAGTCGATCGTATGGTCGATACAATAACCTTGTCAGAAAAAACAATTTATCATTGAGTCAAATGCTGACAGACGTTCTTCATACCAAATGGTCGCCTGCGTGGCGCAGTGGTTAGAGCGTCTGCTCTAGAGTCGCGAAGTAAGGAGTCAATCATTACGTCGCGGGTTCGAATCCCACTGTGGAACGTGGAGACCGGTCCTTCGGATGAGACCGTATAAACCGAGGCCCCGTGTCGCAGTAGGTGCTGGCACGAAAAAGATCCCTCACTGCTCAAAGGTCCTGAGTGCCGAGCATAGGACAAAATTTGTAGCCCTCCACCGGCAAGTGGTGGTGTCTCCATATGAGTGAAAAATTCTCGAGAGGGACGTTAAAACAACATACAATCAATCAATCATACCAAATGTTAGTCTATTATTGGACTTTTGTGAGAAGCGTTGACTTTAACAGTTGACGGCTTATTTTGACATTAATTTAAACTTCGATTATGTATGGAGGTACGGAATTGATAATAAACAAGAAAACATCAATAGTGGATATAGCTCTTGTTTTAGAGACACTAACATTATTTACGAACGCAAGAGATGATTAAAAGTAGAATAAAATTTCCTAAAATATCTTATATATGAGAGAGATTATCTTCTTTTATTTTTCTTAATCAAAGAAATCAAATAAAGAAAAAAAAAACATCCTGGAAGGAAAGATTGGCAGAGGTTGGTCAAGGTCGGAAAGGAAGGGGTTGAGGGTAGGATTGTTACCGTCCCATTTCCAGTCAACGCAGTATGGGTTTTAAAATGACCCCTTTTTATCAATTTATGAATTGTTAAGGACGCTCTAAACACTGCACACCAAAGAGCTCTATTTATTGGATATTTTTATGAAGTTAGAGTTGGTCTGCCCTTACATGTAAGATTAAAGAAATTGTAATTTACCTTTAATTACATAATTAGTGTAATATTACAACAGGCAGAGCAACCATTAGTGCGAGTATCAGAGAGATGGGTATAAAATGCGAGGGTTGTCCATAAAGTTCGTGGACAACAATGATAATTACTGACAAACATTGACAAAATATTTGAAACTATTATTTACATTAAATTCATGATTCATTTTATCAAAATGCAAGTTTTCAACCAAAACAAAGCACAAATAATTATATTTTAATCAGATTAAAAAAAGACACACACTCATACCCGGAGCACTAAAATGAATTCTTGACGTAACCCGACGTCAAAAGCATAATATGAGTGCATGAAACTTTCCTCAACATAGTCACCGTTTAACTCAATATATTTCTTTTGTCGCTTTAACCAGTCATATGTGCACAAAATGTTCAGGTTTCATACGAAAAATAATATTTAACAATGCCCGTCTCATATCCTGCAATCATCCAACCTCTGTCCGCGTAAAAACGATTTTATTTACGGAAAAACGGTAAAGTCACGTTAAGAAATTCATTTTTTACTGCACTGTAATCTCGGAATGATGGTTTTCCTTCACGCATGTCATTCTGTAAACTGTCCCTTCCGTCCAAAAATATTATATGCCACTTAGATACTAATGTATGGCTTCTTTTACTATTTTACTGTTTTCCCAATTGTTTACAAAATGTAATGGTCTCTGTAGGTGTTTATCCGACGTGTACGCAGAATTTTATCACAGCTAACTGCTCCACCTATTCCTAAAACGTCCCTCTTTTGAACAATTTTGACCCGGAACTTTTGTGTATATCGAGACAGGGCACATGTCACATGACTAAAAAGACATATTACGTCATAATCGGTGATGATATACATGTTAAACGTTGTTAAAATCAACCAACGGTTCTTGTGTAATTTTATTCTAAATTCTAAAATTGTTTTTTAAACATTTAATTTTGGAAATTGTTATTCATAAGATTTTTAAAGATCTTGCCATCTTTAGATATTGTGAAGTTGCCCAATCCACACATTTTTTTCTCTTTACCCTACAGGTTGTCGTCAGTGACGTCATAGACGTAGTGTCTGAATTTTCAGTGCAGCGAGATCAAGTACACACACCCGTCATGATCAGTTTTATTTCATATTAAACAGGTTAGAGTAAATGTATCGTGATAAATTTCTGAAGCAGATTTTTTTAAATTAATATTTTTTCGTGTTTAGTAGCAGAGATTCTCTCTATTTAGATAATTTTGAATGTTTATGTTTTCGTGTGACATCATAATTGTTTTCCCGCACTCGGGAAATACAAACGTAAAGCGTTTTTATCATGCTTACGTCAAATTCAATGCTGTCCTCTGCGATATTGAGGTAATCTTCACCCTGTGATATTTACGCAGTAAATAATTACTATGAAGGACTGACATTCTATCGTAAAGAATGATTGCACTTAGTGTACAAAAAGTGGCCCCCGGTAAATTGTGCAAAAATAAAGTATAAAAAGTAGCCTAATGAGATTAATAAAGCAATTCTTCTAGGTCTTAATCGCAACTTTGCAAAATTACAGGAATTAAAAGTAAGTAAAAATAAAGAACGAGGCTGTGTTTTGTAAGAGAGGTCACTGCAATTCATGAATTTCCATTGTTATTCAAAGTTATTCCGATCTTTAAAGCTGGAATACATGGTGAGCGTATTCTTGCCCAAATTTCTAAAAAGGACAGAATGTTTAGAACTCTTGGAAATACAACTTATTTAAAGGGGAATTTTGGGCAAGCCTGCGCTCGGGGTAAACTTTTTGAAAAATGGTACAAAACGCCGACCGTTTTCTTTGCTATTTACAGGTATTTACATGTTATTAACCTCATTGTGACCTGTTTAGTATTCTATTATATCACATAATTTGTAGACTCAGGTAACTTTGTGAATACACAAAAATCAATAAATCACATGGCTCTAGCTCCGATTGATAACGTTGCATCGAAAAGCGACCTACTTATACCGTTACATGTACATTTTCAATTTATAAACATCGAATTATTTTTTTTTTGGCTTAGTATTTTTATAGGGTAATGGATTATAAAACTGGATAAAATGTTATTATATTTATTTATTGTAGTCCTTCGATTTATGGGGCACGTTTGAAGGGTCCTTATCGTCGCAATACCATCATTCCTTGAGCAAAGTGTTTTTACTGTAAAAATATATGCACACAGGGTATAGAAATACGTAGATGATTTAACACTGGAATGCTTTCCGCCCCCCCCCCCCTTCAAGAAAAAAAAAAAAAACAAGCAAACCAAAAAAAAAAAAAAAACCAATCACACATACAATTAATAAAATAATACATGTATCACCACACGCAGCATCACAACAAAAAATTCTGTGCACCATTATATGTACTATAAGTATTTACTGTACTTTTAAAATGTACATGTACGTAGAGAGTTAGAGAGAGAGAGAGAGATAAATTTAATAAATTCGATACGGACTAATCTTTTAGAAAACACAAAAGACGATTTTTCTTTCTTTAATGGGATTTTATTCCTTTTTTTTTTTTTTTACAAACTTATAGGCTTCCCTCAACAGTTTATCTAAAGTGTTAAATTTTCACCTAGAAACGACTAAAATTGAGGGGAAAACTGGATATAGGGAGAGAGTACATGTACATCCCCGCGCAAGATCCCCCAGCGCCCCCCCCCCCCCCCCCCCCCCCCCCAAATCAAACAACAACAAAAAACTGGCTTAGAGCTTGAGAAGTTCTTTGCGTTTACTTATCTATATATTTTGCAGGTCTGGACGATTTCTAAATAAGGAAGTCAAGAACGATAACCGTGAATTTCTTTTAATACACAGAATAAACAAGGCACTTATTCTTCTGACCAATCAGATAACAGCATTTAGACAAACCCATGAGAAAATAAATAAAACACGTGGTTTATAAGTTTTTTGCTCAAAAGATTATTTTAGAACAAATTTTTAGTAAACTTTATGCGCATTTGGGAAGAATGTAATATTTATGACAATTCTACCGTGAACAAACACGACTTGAAAGCTTAGAATACGTTTTAAGTGGGATATAAAAATCTGTCTCTAGGAGGTGGCGGCCACAGCACTATGCTTAAGGATGGATTCTTCTCATATTTCTTATAATCACAGAATCTTGATTTTCTGAATACTCAATATTCAGACTGTGTACACTTATTTAACATCCAAACAAACAGGTGCAATCAGCCTTGATTTTCAGTCAAGGTCATTTGAAAGTCAGACCTATAGATAGTACTTTTACACAGAGAAATTTTGAAATTTACGCATAGGAATAAATTTTGCTGACAGAAAAAAATATCTTGCTCAATAAATTTAAAGTTGTAACTTAATTTTGATCACTAACTAACATGAATTGAGATGGTGGGAAAAAACATGAAATCCTCAATATTCAATAAAAACATTTAATCCGAATTTCCTCGATAATTTCTTTCAAATTTCTCAGTTTTCATAAATTTACATGAAATTTCATCTCAATTTTTACAATTGATCATATAATGTCAAATATTTAGAATTTTGTCGGATGAGTATTCAAATGCTGAAGATTAATTTACAAGGTAGAAAAGATATGGTATTCATGCTAATTATAGAACAAATTTAGCCCGAATTTACCCTACAGTTTCTGAAATCTTCCATTTTACAGAGTGGTGTTCAAATCTATAAGAAAGATTCTTAACCCCCCAAAACAGGCAATTTGGTGTAATTGTGACACATATATACATTTAATTCTTCCATTTATACATTTCGTTTTATGATAGTTTGTACAAATAATATTTAAAATATTTATTTCGAATTTCCTCTGTCATTTTATTCTTAGGAATAAGTTAGGTTTGACAATTTTATAAAATACATTCTGGATTCTTTTCCTATTTTATATATTCAGAAAATAATGCAATTACGCATGGAAACATTTCAAGATATGCACAATTAAATGACAAGAAAAAGGTTGGGGTCATCATCCTTGATTTTGCTTTTAGGCCATTTAAAAAGTTGATGATAAAAATAGATTTTTTCCTCCTGTGGAATTGAGAAAATCCAATGTGGTATTTTAAAATTGATGTTTTGGAAAAATGGAGATGTTTAGATATAAAAAAAAAAACAATTTAAGTCTTAAGTTTAATGTTAAAGCAATGTACTAAAGTAAAAAAAATAACAAACTTTTGATCACAAATGACACAAAATATTTATTCCGAATTTCCTCTGTACTCTTTATAAAGTTATATTTTAGTCTTTGACAATCATTCTTTTTCATTTAATTTTTTTACTTAAATCATATATTCAGAAAATTTTTTTTACAACCATAGGAAAGATGGATGTTGAATGAATCATTTACAACAAAAAATAAAGGGGTATTCATATTTATTAAATTGCCAGGTTAGTTCGAATTTCCCCATTTTAAAAATTATCATAGAAAAAAGAAAATGCTTTCAATATATCATACAGGCTAATAATTTAAGAGACAGGACAGGCGGTTAGATAATACATTTTCTCTAAAATGTGATATGATGTATTATTTTGGAAATAATTGTTGAAATTATTGCCATGTTTCCAAAAACTTTTAAAAATTCAATCCAAATTTCCTCTGTTATAAAATATACTGGTTTCATTATTTACAAAAAAGTAAAGGTTCACGAACGAAATACATGTATATTTTTCCTGAGTTAAAGGCCAAAACTTTATGTTATATTATAGAATCTTAATATGTTTTGTAGTCGTACATGAACTAATATATGACATGTATATAAATATTTATCAGCGCCAACACAATTACAATAATTGTCAAGGGTGCAAACATACTAGTATAAGAATCACCAATTGTTCATACAATTTTATACAATACACTGCATCTAGATTTTGAGGCTATACATAAATCACACAATAATATTATTTACACAATAATACACAATAAATATCTATTACAATTATTTCTAAATATATGGTATTTCTTAATAAATAAGTGTTATTTTCAGTATTTCTGTACATGGACTATCAAAGGTATATGAGACAAATTTGATAGTTTTCCTTAATTATTGTATTTTTGGTAGCTGAATGGAAAACAAATACATCTTAAATCTCTCCTGTGTAACAAATAATTTACAAAATCTTTCATTAGTGAGTGTATGTCGACAAATCTCTCGATCCCCTTTTCTGTTTGTTTCAACGTTTATATTGATATTTCCACATGCAATATCCCTATTTTTCCACTTTGATTTGTACCCCAGCGGAACACCTTACTTTTCTACCAACTTGATGATTTGTTGTGTCTTTAACAAATAAGGCTAGTTAGTATTATATAACTTGTTGTAATCATATACAAAAGATGCTATTTTTGTGAATAAATAGTATTCATAAAACTGACGAACAAACGGAAATGATAAATTTCAATCCTCAAATGTTGAACTGTCGATCGCGGGAACAAGCATACGAAATACATCGATCTACATGTGTATAATATCCTTGCGAATTCCCATTTATCAATAAAAACTATGTAATTCAATTTCAAAATTATAAATTAAATTGCTAGACATACATAACTTACTTACATGTACAATCTCACTGCACAGTGACACGACATGACATCAGGCGATCGAGGCAACGTGGCGGGTCTGCAATCTCGCATGTTTGTGACCTTCAAGTTTCTTTTGGTTGATCGGGTGTCCCGGGCATAAAGAAATGGGTGACTTAAAATTGGTTTAATCATCCCTGGGCTTCTACACTGCTTCAATAATGATCACAGCTTGTAGATTTTACAAAACAATCCTGTCGGGGTTTTCTACGGGAAACAACTATGGACATGTTGACATTCGCTACGGAACTGCGCATTTTATGGCAATTGTCGCAAATCAAAGAAAAAATTACGAACAACTTATATTTTTTAACAGAAATAGATTCAAAAATACATAAACTGATAAATTAATCAATAATTTTTCATTCAGATTGATTAAATATGTAATTTGCATTTTACGACTTGCAAAATCTATGGAGACCCATTGACGACGTAAAATGCTGTTACCATATTGGATTTTCTTAATTCCACAGGAGGAAAAAATCTATTTTTAGCATCAACTTTTCAAATGACCTTCAAGCAAAATCAAGGATGATGACCCCACACCTTTTTCTTGTCATCTAATTGTGCATATCTTGAAATGTTTCCATGTATAATTTCATTATTTTCTGAATATATGAAATAGGAAAAGAATCCAGAATGTATTCTATAAAATTGTAAAACCTAACTTATTCCTAAGAATAAAATGACAGAGGAAATTCGAAATAAATACTTTAAATATTATTATAGTACAAACTATCATAAAATGAAATGTATAACTGGAAGAATTGAATGTATATATGTGTCACAATTACACCAAATTGCCTATTTTGGGGGGTTAAGAATCTTTCTTATAGATTTAAACACCACTCTGTAAAATGGAAGATTTCAGAAACTGAAGAGTAAATTCGGGCTAAATTTGTTCTATAATTAGCACGAATACCATATCTTTTCTACCTTGTAAATTAATCTTCAACATTTGAATATTCATCCGACAAAAATCTAAATATTTGACATTATATGATCAATTGCAAAAATTGAGATGAAATTTCATGTAAATTTATGAAAACTGAGAAATTTGAAAGAAATTATCGAGGAAATTCGGATTAAATGTTTTTATTGAATATTGAGTTTTTCATGTTTTTTTCCCACCATCTCAATTCTTGTTAGTTAGTGATCAAAAATAAGTTACAACTTTAAATTTATTGAGCAACATATTTTTTTTCTGTTAGCAAAATTATTCCCATGTGCAAATTTCAAAATTTCTCTGTGTAAAAGTACTATTTTTATGACTGACTTTCAAATGACCTTGACTGAAAATCAAGGCTGATTACACCAGTTTGTTTGGATGTTAAATAAGTGTACACAGTCTGAATATTGAGTATTTAGAAAATCAAGATTCTGCAATTATAAGAAATATGAGAAGAATCCATCCTTAAGAGTAAGACGCTTGCCATCCACGTCAGAAGTGAGTAGTAAACTAGTAACTCAAACAGACTATCTTGTTTTCTTCATGCCATGTTCGTTTATCAATCTAAAAGTAGTGACGGCGTCACGTGATTGATTTATTTAGAAAGAGCAATTTCTCTCCTAGCAGGGTTATAAATAACCACAAAATCAAGAACGATAAGCGGGTAAGAAAAGTAACAAGTGGAATAATTTTTATCTTTATATCACGGTAGAACAAAGGTCAGAAAATATAACTACTCGTAATTTAACATTCTTTCATATATAGCTTTGGGTTTAAAATGTGAAATTATAGTGTTATGAATCGTTTCCTATGACCTTTAAGTTCATTAAAACTCAGAAATATTCAGAAACCAGTAGCATCATGCCAAAAATATCATCTCGCCGAGTGAATCAGTCGCGCTTAGACCTCTGACTCCAAAATTAGTCCATACAGAATTGAAGATGGCTTCTCTTCAATGGGTTCATCTTTGAAATATATTTGCATATGTAAATATAATTAAATGGTCATTCTTTTGATGATCGAGCTTGAAAATAATACCAAACTTTTGTTAAAGAGCAATATTTACAATCATTTTTTTTAAATTTATGTCACTACAGAAAAGAGCCTGGGAAAGAGAGAAAAAAAATATGCTTCCTGTATTCTACTTACTGCTACGGTGAATATTTTTTTTTTTTTAATAAATTTTTATTTTTAATAGAATATTTCAATTGGACTTATTTTCTATATTGGAAATGCAAAATCTTCATTCAACGATATTCAGCTACAGTCATTTCTTACGACTTGTTGCCTGCAAGATACATGTAATGCACTTAATTCTTGTAAGACTAAATAACGGATGGAAAAGTTCTATTACTTGAAAAGTCTGCTGAATTTCAGAGCTTGAAGTTTGAAGTTTTTTCTATTAGTCTTTAAAAAATAATTTTTGATTGATTGTATATTGTTTAACGTCGCTCGAGAGAATTTTTCACTCATATTTTGACGCCACCACTTGTCGGTGGAGAGCTTTACTCGCCATTGAGCGGGGTGCTGGGATGTTTTCGTGCCAGCACCTACTACGACATGGGACCTCAGTTTTTGAGGTGTCATCCGAAGGACCGGTTTTCACGTCAAACAGTGGGATTCGAACCCGTGACGTAAGGATCAACTCCTTACTTCGCCACTCTAGAGCAGACGCTCTGACCACTGCGCCACGTGGGTAACTTATGCAGAAGATATTTGTATTCTTTAAAAGTTTTTTGATGTCTGCTTGTTCATATCACTCTATACACCTACCAGAGCAGGTACATTGGTTGTGATTGCACTGGCCAGCTTGATATTTGGGGCATTTAGTACAGTCGGAATCTTGTTCACATTCGTGTTTATTTGATGGTGACGATGCTAAGTTGAAAAAAGAAAATTCATGTCAAATTAATTAACTTCCAAGAAAATTGTTCACAGTTAGTACAAATACTTACTTTCACATAGACATCGAGAGTGACCGTCTAGGTTAGCACATTGTGGATATAAACTGCTTCTACAACCATATCCATGACAATCATTGTTGTAAATGCAGGACATTCCGGCTACAGATAACAATCGTGTTATTATTACTTTTTCTTAAAATAGGAAAAGAAAAAAAACTTTTATTTCTTTTAAACTGCATTTGTTTTTTCCTACAGAAAAGAACTTAACAGTTGCAACAATTATCGATGCAAACATGATCAATTAATAAGAATTATGTTCAGGGCAATTCGTTTTAAATTAGCAAAATGTATTTTCTTATTGAGTCTCTCGAACACAACAGATATGAGTCTGTATTTATAGTGCAAAAAAATAAACTATATATACATTTGGTTGTCTGGTCCATCGATTAATTTTATGCTCGTTAACTTAAAAATGACTAACATGTGGTGAAGTGAATTTAAACATTGTTCTGCTTTTTTTCTTATACATAGTACATGTCCATTATTTTAAAAAGGTTCTTATAATTGTTAATCGCATTTCCGTTATACAAGGCTGCAAAATTTTCTTTAAAATTTCCCTACTCAACTGAGGAAATTGTATTTATGTCATTCTGTACAATCGTGAAGGTCTTCTCTCTTTATCTTCTGTACTATTTAATACTAACCCATGTTCACTCTAAGTTTTCAGTATCATTCTACACACTTACCAGAGCAGGTACACTGATTGTGGTTGCACTTGCCAACTTGATATTTGGAGCATTTAGTACAGTCGAAACTTTGATCACATTCGTGTCTTGCGGATGGTGATGATGCTAAGATGGAAACAGAAAATTCACGTTGTTAATTTGATAAGCATCGCATAGGTTAATCGCCACTAGGAAATACTTACTTTCACATAGACATCGAGAGTGACCGTCTAGGTTAGCACATTGTGGATATAAACTGCTTCCACAACCATACCCATGACAATCATTGTTGTAAATGCAGGGCTTTTCGGCTATAGAAAATAATCGTATTATTATCACATTTTTTTTAAAATTGGACTAGAGAAAAGCGTTTATTTCTTTTAAAATGCATTTTATTTTTACTTATAGTCAAGAACTTAACAGTTGCAACAATTATCAATGTGCAAACATGATCAATTTATAGCTATTATGTTCAGAGCAATTCGTTTTAAATAAGCAAAATGTATTTTCTTATTGAGTCTCTCGAACACACAACAGATATGAGTCTGTATTTAAAGTGCATAAAAACAAAATATATATACATTTGGTTGTCTGGTCCATTGATTAATTTTATGCTCGTTAACTTAAAAATGACTAACATGTGGTGAAGTGAATTTAAACATTGTTCTGCTTTTTTCTTATACATAGTACATGTCCATTATTTTAAAAAGGTTCTTATAAATGTTTATAGCATTTCCGTGATAGGAACCTGCAAAATTTTCTTTAAAATTTCCCTACTCAACTGAGGAAATTGTATTTATGTCATTCTGTACAATCGTGAAGGTTTTCTCTCTTTATCCTCTGTACTATAGCTATAAAATACTACCCCATATTCACTCTCAATTTTCAGCATCATTCTACACAATTACCAGAGCAGGTACATTGGTTGTTGTTGCACTGGCCAACTTGATATTCGGGGCATTTAGTACAGTCGGAACTTTGTTCACATTCATGTCTGGCGGATGGTGACGATGCTAAGATGAAAACAGAAAATTCATGTCGTTTATTCATTAGCGTTTCATAAGTTAATCGCTACTTTGAAATTACTTACCTTCACATAGACATCGAGAGTGACCGTCTAGGTTAGCACATTGTGGATACAAACTGCTTCCACAGCCATACCCATGACAATCATTGTTGTAAATGCAGGATATTTCGGCTATTGAAAAAAATTGTAATATTATAACTTTTTTTAAAACCGGAAAAGAGAAAAACGTTTGGTTTCTTTTCAATTGCATTTTATTTTTTTCTACTGTTTTCCTTTCTTTTTCAATTCCAACCCAAAACCGTGCACAATGGTCACACTTTTAGACCTTCTGTAGATAGGAAGACCTACTGTAGTAAAGACGTTAACATTTGCAACAATCGACAATGTGCAAACATATGATGAATCGAGAAGTATTAAAGTATGGGCAATTCGTTTTAAATTAGCAGAATGTATTTTCCTATTGAATCTATCGAACACACGGCAGGTTTGAGTCTAATTCATTGATTATTTTTATATAATTTTATTTATAAATTGCTTCCACAACCATACCCATGACAATCATTGTTGTAACTGCATGACATTCCAGCTTTAAAAGAATTTAATCATTATGTAAATATTATTTTTTTCAGTGATGTAAGTATGTGTGGAGTGTGTGTGTATGTTCAGTTTTTTTTTTAGCTTTAGTGCACCTTCTTTTAAGTTTTGATTAATAAGAATGAAAACCTTTCATGTTATTTGATGTAACAACTAAAATGACCAACAAAGTAGAAATGTTAGGAATATTGAGTATGAATGTAAGAGGTTTTTCTTCTTACATGCAAAAATGTAGAGATGTTTTTAATTGGGTTAGAAATAAAAAAAAATATCTGGATTGTTTGTTTTCAAGAAACACATAGTACTCATGAGACTTCAAGGTCATGGGAATCAGAGTGGGGCTACAAATCCTTTTTTAGTAGTTATACAAGCAGCTGAGCTGGAGTTTCAATATTTTTCAAAAATAGAGTAGAATAATGAGATGTAGATGAAAAAAATGTCATTTTCATAGCTGTACTACGCTCAGTAAGATATTCACAAATCCTTTCACCTATTTAAACATGAAGAAATAATTTTAAAAAATGAATATCCGCCATTTTGAATCGCCATTTTTGACTTATAACTTAAATTACTGCTGCAGCATCATTCAGTTGTAGAATTCTGAGATGAAGAGGAAAAATACAAATCTGCAGCGTATGGATGTTTGCAAATGTTAAATCCTGAACAAAGCAGAATATAGAAACAATAGACAAATAAATCTGAGAAAATTCGATTTAAATGTAGAAACGACTAAATTTTCTGAGTTAAATAATAATGTTAGCATTCTATTATCATTTTTATTGTTGCATTACACTTAGTTAGATATTAACACATTATATTTCTCCTTTTTGAACTACATTAAGAGAAAATAATAATTATTTGCCGTTAGAAGTTATTTCTTGCTTTCTTTTTACAAATCTGGACCAGACTATTTTAGTTCATGTTTTATAAATGAAGATACATTGTTGGAGAATTTGGATTATTAAAAAGTAATTATCTGGGGTGGGTCAAAGTAGGAACAGTTTTTATGTGGAAAGAAATTTTGCAAATCACAAATATCTAATATTCGATATTTCACTGAATAAAAAGTCACTTTTATAGAATAGATAAATAATTATATATTCAATGTTATGTTGAGACCCTTCCTCCTTTCTCTGTCCATAACATTCTTGAAATCAGAAACTTTGAACATGTCTGTAATGACTATTTTATTAAAAATAAGGGGGAATTTCGATTAAAAATTAAACTTAAAAAATAAACACATCTTGTTTAATTTATTTTCTTTGTTTATTGCCTGTTTTAGTAAATTTGAAAAACTAATCTTTTAATTTTAAAATGTGTTCTCCATCCAGCAGATTTCAGCAAATCAGATAACAAGTTAAAAATTGATTCATGTATAATTTTTTAGATTATTATACCTACAGATGTATATTATGCTTTCTGATACTGTTTTTACATTTTTTATTATAAATTCCTCTACAGAATATAAAACAGTATAAAATTTATATTCTATTGATGACAATCTCTAATACTAAATATAACCGGAAATTGATATGAGATAGCACTGAGAAATCTGTATTTCTAGTAAGATCGTGTTTCACAAAACTTCAGGTGGGGGGGATCAGATACCTTTTTTAAGGGTTGAAAAACAACTTGTTGAAATACTAGACTATTAAACAAAAAAACCAGTATTTACATTAGGATTTACAAAAAATATAATAATTATGTTCAATCAATTAAAATATATCTTTAATACCGCATTAAAGGTGAAAGTTACGTTCAACTGTAAAGTGCAGAGTTATCTTTCCGGAAATGACATAAATACTGATATATTTGAACGTTAATTTGAGCGACCATCGAAACAAAGCAAATCACAAGAAACGTATGTGACTTATCAAGGAGAGTAACTGACATCCCTACGGATAACCATGAAGAAATATTGAAAATCATTTGAAAGGCATATTTTTACTGCAATAAATTAAAGGTATGTTTTCTTTTTCTAAAGATTTGCATTAATTTACCACGATGAGTAATGTAAACAGTGACTTGGGGACGTTTACAGACTTGTAGGAGAGGAGTTTATATTGAATTTTATTTAAAAAATAAGTATTTTAACATCAGTATAGTTTCAACATAACTTGAAAAAATTGATGTCAATTTCATTCAGCATACGGCACTTTCACTAAAATCTGACTTTCATTCCTAAAGGGCCCCGTGGGGATCCGGGTCAGAATAGGTCCTCAGTATCCCCTTGCTTGTCGTAAAAGGCGACTACATGGGGCAGTCCTTCGGAGGAGACCGTATAAACCGAGGCCCCGTGTTACAGCAGGTGTGGCACGATAAAGATCCCTCCCTGCTCAAAGGCCGTAAGTGCCGAGCATATGCCTAAATTTGCAGCCCTTCACCGGCAATGGTGACGTCTCCATATCAGTGAAATATTCTGGAGAGGGACGTTAAACAGTATACAATCAATCAATCATTCCTAAAGGCTATGTGAGTAGTTCAGATCGAACTCATAGCATTATCAAGTACCTGGCGTCATCTTCAAGTGCAAATTGTTGTTCCATATTCAACACTAAAAAACGTATTCTTATGAAGTTTATCGGGTTACCTGTACTTCTACAATGTTTGAACAGTTTTGAATACATGTACCTTAAATTATTCTTGTGTATTTGAAATAGATTACTACATGTAGTTCTTAACGGCAGTTATATACTGATGGGATACTATATCATGCAGTGGTATAGGTTGCTTTAGCACTGCTGAATGTTAATCAAGTTTGACATTTTGGTGACTAACATTGGTAACAACCGATTGAAACAGTAATTAATCATAATTATATATAAAAATCAACTTCTTGTAATTTTCATTTAAATATCTTAAACAAAGCATTTTAAAAAAGATTCAGGAAATTTTTATATAAAATCATCAGCTTATTTATTTTAAAAAGAGTAGAATATTGTATATAATTTTGAAGATGCATAGTTTGTTGCCTATCTCTAATGATCTCTGTGTTATAAATATATGTCATTTTAATTGAACGTATAGAGATTAAATTAAAATTGTGTAAATTAGGTACATCACACAATTGTGAAGTTTCTACATATTTAAACATTCAGAGGCCTTATGATAAATAATTTATATATCGGTTAATATTTTGAAAATTTTGACAATAATATTAAGTGTATTAAGCATGCTCCTTCTGCCAAAATTTACAAGTGTTTATAGTTTTTCTGTAGGTACACTTGTTTGAATGTGTGAAACCTAGATGTGTTGAATTTCTAAGCACATGATTAAGAAATGTGTTTAGAATCCATACACTTTTCTAAACGATTTTTTGTCACCTTCTTTATACCCCCCGCTTGAAAAGCGGGAGGGTATATATTAATCGTTAATTCCGTCCGTCTGCACGTCCGTCCGTCTGTTACGCTTTGGGGTACCCTTCTCTTATCCGCAACTCCTCTCATACCAAGGAAGGAAATTTAATGAAACCTTCACAGAATCTTTATTACATATTTTCATTGTGCAACTCCTCTGTTACGCTTTGGGGTACCCTTCTCTTATCCGCAACTCCTCTCATACCAATGAAGGAAATTTAATGAAACTTTCACAGAATCTTTATTATATATTGCCATTGTGCACCTCCTATTTTACTTTTTGATCTGAGATATATTTTGAATTTTTCAGAGCAAAACATGAATACTGCCATTATATTCATATGGGAGGCGGGGGTATTATTTAGTGAGCTCATTGCTCACAGTACCTCTAGTTTTTTTTTATATGTTTAATTCCTAAACATGTAAAATTTCTAAACATGTATAAAAAAGTGTTTGGAATCGAAACACTTATGTGCTTAGATTCTAAACAATTTCTCAAACGTGTTTAAAAATTTAAAATTGTTAGGAAATAAACATACATGTATAAAAAATAAGGTGACAAAAAAGCTTTTAGAAAAGCGTTTGGATTCTAAACACATATTTTTACAGTGATGTTACTTGAAATAATGCTTAGGAGTATATCTAATTAACTCACATATTGATCGATATTTAGGATGTATAACGGTCACAATTAAGCTTAATTTTCATAATAACCTTGTGTCCGAAATAATTTTGCCTGTGTCCAGTATGCAGATTCTTCTGATAATAAGAATAATAGACATTTGAACCTCAACGTTGTGTAAAATCAAATTTATTACTAACAAGGTTTCATTTTTTTCCCGAAATGATGACAAACTTCCTTGGAATTATATCCTACATTTAAGATTTCGATAATGATGGACATTAAATATTCATTTTTATGCTGCATCACTTTACACTTAGATAATAATCAAACTTAAGATTTTGATTTATTTATTTTTTACAACATACCGTTATTTGATTCGGGAAGGAGGGGATGAATAATCAGTCCTAAGACATTTTGAAAAGGAATAGTCTGGTTAGAAAAAATCTGTCCTCGTCTGGTCCCCCTTCCGGGTTATAAAAGAGTTCTGGAGTTCGACATTAACCATTTTTGTTAAACTTTGATTTGATTGTGATAGTGAAGAAAAAAATAAATAAATAAATAGCTCATGGAATTAAATTACTTCTACTTATGTCTAACATAAAAATAGATGATTTCACCTGAAAAGACCCCCAACCCCCTGAAGTCAAATGGTCGTCACTTAATCTAAAGTATTTCCCCCCAAATAACTTAACTCTATCCTGTCAAACGCACTTTGCATATTGCAGGACTTGACACTGTGTCTGACGAACCATCCGCCACATACTGTAGACGTACTTTGTTCCGCGTGGGATTAATTTCCAGTACTATTTTTTTAATATAATAACTACATTCCTTATGTCACTTTACTGTCAGTAGTAAAAGGCAGAGGGTGGGGGCAACCAGTCTTTCAATGCACATTTTCAATAGTAAAAGTAATGTTGGGAAATAGTGGGGCTAATGCCACGTGCCTGTTTCTATTTGCACAGTTTTTATTTAAAGGTCTTGCTTGGTCTGAAAGGAGAATAGAAAAATATATAATATTTTCATGAATAATTCTTATCACTGAATCTAACTATGAACAGAGTTTTATATGGTTATAATTCAACTTTCTGATTTAGTTGTCGCCCACATGGCGCAGTGGTTAGAGCGTCTGGTCTAGAGTCGCGAAGTAAGTAGTTGATCCTTAGGTCGCGGTTTCGAATCCCACTGTGGGACTTTGAGACCAGTCCTTCGGATAAGACCGTATAAACCGACGTTCCTCATTGCTCAATGAGTGTCAAACAATATAAAAAATCATCGATCATGGCGATAATATCTTCATGATAGTTTAGTGCTGTATTTGTATTTGAATTTGTTTCCTCCTATGCTGTTTGACCCTTGCTTTTGCGAAAGTGAAGGAACATTAAATCTCATTCGTCTGTTCGTCTGTCACAAAAAAACTTGGACCTTTTTCATACGACCTTTGAGACTTTGAGACTATCATATATATTTCATCCTGTGCACTACGTGTGAAAAGACCTTTTTAAATATGTTAAAGTATTTTTTTGTAATTTTGACCTGATGACTTTGACCTTCAGTTTAACCTACTTTAATATTATTCTAAATTGGCAAAAACTTTTGAAAGAGAAAAGGTAGGGGTTTTATACAGTGTATAATATATGTACATTACCTGTGATAAGGTCTCTCTAGATGCACTATGAATTTTAATCGGTCGACTTGACTTTGACGTTTTACCTACATCTCAAAAATTTAAACATTGGTCATAACTTTTGAATGAAAAAAGATACATGTAATTTAGGCTGGTTTAGAATAGGTCCTCAGTACCCCCTTGCTTGTCGTAAAAGGCAACTAAATGAGGCGGTCCTTCGGATGAGACCGTATAAACCGAGGCCCCGTGTCACAGCAGGTGTGGAACGATAAAGAACCCTCCCTGCTCAAAGGCCGTAGGTGCCGATCATAGGCCTAAATTTGCAGCCCTTCACCGGCAATGGTGACATCTCCATATCAGTGAAATATTCTGGAGAGGGACGCTATATAGCATACAATCAATCAATAAATCAATCTAACCTGTGAAAAGACCTTGAAGTTTGGCTCACTTTTCAAAAATGCTATCGCCCCGTGGGGATCCGGGTTAGAATAGGTCATCAGTACCCCCTTGCTTGTCGTAAAAGGTGACTAAATGGGGCGGTCCTTCGGATGAGACCGTATAAACCGAGGCCCCGTGTCACAGCAGGTGTGGCTCGATAAAGATCCCTTCCTGCTCAAAGGCCGTAAGTGCCGAACATAGGCCAAAATTTGCAGCCCTTTACCGGCAATTGTGACGTCTCCATATCAGTGAAATATTCTGGAGAGGGACGTTAAACAGTATACAATCAATCAATCAATTAAAAATGTTACATGTATCTTTTCTTTTAAAACACGGGCTATCATATTGGACAAGTGCATTACCTGTTACATGTATAAGATGTTTACCGATTATTATATTATGACCCTTGACCTTCATATTTGACTTAATTCAAATATTTTACATTTAATGATTACTTTTTAATTGCATATAAAAGGGCGTTCATATTTGACACAATATGCCATAAATAATGGCATCTGTTCCACTAAGATACCAAAAGCGGGAGACCACAATTCTTAAAATTTGCTTACAAAATATTCATTCCTACGAATTCCTACTGAAAATACTGGTATACTTGATTTTACTTTCAACATATAAAAAGTTTGATTTGTTTTTAAAAGATTTTGGGACTGTTATGTTTAAAAACATCAGATTTCATACTTAGTTCATGTAATATTTCATTGTAAAAAGAAAATAATTTTCTCCCGGTATAGTTCAGCTTGAACTGTGTTACAGTTACTGATATTTCTCCAACCTTTATAAACCTCAACGCACTTTCTGAACTCACATGATTTTTCGCACAAATTAAGGTCACATTTTAATCAAGCTAAATTGTTTAATGTGACAACAAAATATATGAAATATAGATTCTTTGTAATTATCAAAATAGGTTGGCCATGCATAGAAAACCATTTTTTAAATAATAATTTTAAAAAGCTGTTTTAGTAATTGTAAAATCTAAAATCGGTTTATGATAGTCCCTTGGTTGCCATAGAAACGGGATGTAAAATTCCTCAATTTCGTTCATTATGAACAACATTTACTTATCAGGAAAAAAAAACTGTGTCCAGTAATGAAAGGAAAATAACTATTTTAAAATTTCTTTTAACTATTTAGATTTAATACTACAGATAAAATTTATGATATTTGTAGTTTTGATTTAATCTTTCAATAGCAAATGGGCATTTTACGTATAACAACATATCAGAGAGGTGATTAGTTAATTGGAGGTTTTGGAGGCATAAAACAAAAAGGGCACACTGATTACAAAATTAGTAATAATTAATTATGAATGGCTGATATTTGATACCATTTCAAAATATGTAAAACATTGGTTGGATATACTAAGATGTAAAAGAAATTCAAAGGTAAAGATTCCTTTTTTCTACATTTTGAAGCATTTTTTGTTTCTTAATTACTTCTCTTGAACTACTCTCTAACGTTTGGACGTACAAATTGTATTTAGTAAACATTGTATGAACATTTTCTGGCGGAAGATCTTGAACATCAAAGTTTAACATTCTGGAAGAAGAAAAGACAATGAAGACAGAAGGTAAATTTGTGTAAATTATGAGCACAGGAGTCGGCAGTTTTATCAATAAATCAATGTAAACATAACCTATAGGCTTCGCGAGCGTAGCGATCAAAAGCTTGCGAAACTCATGGTTATGTATACATTTTTTTATTGATAAAACTGCCGACCCCTGTGATTCTGAACATCAGAAAAATACCAAGTTTAATCAATGCATATTTTCTTAATCTTATTTGCCTTACCTTACACGGTTATTTTACTGGTAGTGGTCAGTGGTGATTCCTAACCTAACTCTTCCTTGTCAAATCAAGCTCGATTAATTAATTTGTGAATACCTTTTGTAGACTCATACACATGTAACATCATGGAATTTATAAACACGTTCCCTTTCAAAACATTGAGTTTTAAAACTTCAGATAATGATAGTAGAGAATATGAACCTTTAACATGAAATGTTAAATAATTTCAGGATTATGTCTCGTACTGAAGCTCGATAATCTGAAGTTTTATTGCAAGAAAATGTGACCTTAATTTGTGCGAAAAACCATGTGAGTTTAAAAAGTGCGTTGAGCTATACAATGAAATGTACAAAGGTTTTAAACAATTTGATAAACTGAAATTTAATTCATTTACCATTTCCCCTCAATCATGAAACACATTTTTCATCATAAACCTAAATGTACATAGATTGCTAACAAATAATTTACGCATACCAACACAATGACAGCTCCCTAGTGAACAGGACGGGCGGCCATGAATGCAGTGACAATCTCCGTCGAAATGACATCCTGTAAAAGAAATGGTTATTATATGCCCAGGAATATCATGTTAACACTCAAATCCATCATAAATTGTTTACTAATAAAAGTAGCTATTCGTCTGAAATGTGATGCAGTAAGCGACATTTCTCTAACCTTTAGACTGGAAAAATGAAATCAAATTCGAGTAATATAAATACATATTTTTTATTCATCAACTATACCTAATGAATCATTATACATAATTATTATCATAGATGTTTTACTCTGCATAAATTAAAGAGATATAATATATTAGTTCATAAGATATGTATATATATATATATATATATATATATATATATATATATATATATATATATATATATATATATATATATATATATATATATAAGAGAGAGAGAGAGAGATAACAAAGAAATTCTATTTTACATGGATACCCACTTCCGCCCCAGCCCGGGGTTGAACTTTCGACCTTCGGAATCTGTCTCCTAGCAGTGAAAGGTACAGCGCGCTAGACCGCTCGGCTATCTAGGCATGTCAAAAAACTTGCTTTCGATGCCAATTCTCGCGGCGCTGCCCTACACTACACGTTCATTGAGAATGGAAGTGAGATACAGTTATTTGGACATTAGTTTTAACAAAGGATTGTTACCAATACATGTTGTAATGAAATTAATCATTATTTATATATACTCAACAAAAAAAGAAACGCATATTGTTTTACTCATCAAAGAATTTTTTAAAATGTACATGAAACAACTATTTTTTATATCATTGTATATCTGTGACATATTTAAAAGACAACATGGGGTTTTAAAATCCAAGTGTTGAATTACCTCCCTTGATTAAACATGTTTATGAAAGTAGTGTTTTTCATGATTTCTTCTAAATCGGATGTTTATTTTCGTTGATATTTGGGATTTAGAGAAACTTTTAACACTCCTATTAAACCCATATTTAAGATTTTACTCCAGTGTTGATACTGCAAGGCCACGCCGAAACAAAGATGAACACAACCAGGCTAACGATGATACTAAACAGAGCTACGCAACAGGAAGTTGCAACTGTATTTGGAATAAATCAATGGGCTTTGCAACCGGTAAACTAACGTCTGAAGACCACTATCTGGCTATCCGCAGGAAACCAAACCCAGGCAGGACCGTCAGACCTCCCCCCTTTCAGCACCTCATGCAATTCAGAACCTGTTGTAAAAACTGCTGCTACAATTGCTGGATGAAAAAATCAGCGTAATAGTGCATAAATTGTTCACAAGAGACGGAAATGAGATGGTATTCCTCCACGATATCCATACATTGGAAACCCACTAGCATTGAGACGTCGCACAGTACATATTGTTATGCCCCTTGAATTTGGGGGCGATGAAAATGACATCAACTTGACTTTTCAATTTGCAACAAAGGACATGTTTGATTTTTATCACAACACACTTTAAAATCACTTAAATAAAATAAGGTTTGAACTGAAAACTTAGATTTTCTTATTATTCTGATTATGCGTTTCTTTTTTTGTTGAGTATATATAAAGTGCAGGGAAATAATTTTGTTACAGCATCAATGCTGATTTTGATGCTTCCTTTGCTTGCTGATTTTGATGCTAGTTGTCCTTATCCTTGTTTGATCCTTATCTTGGGGCCAGTTTTACAAAAGGACTTACGACTTAAGACCAAATATTATTCTTCGTATAATTTTTAATTAAATTTAATATTTTTACACAAACAATTTTATACAGAAATATTAATTTTGCAAAGTATTACAACAATCTGAAGTTTTTGGTCTTAGTCGTAAGTTGTGTTGTAAAAAGGGCCCCAGATACTCATGAAAAACTAGGTCAATGCTAGTAATGCTACCGGAAGTAGGATTATCCTGGTGGAAGTGGATAATTTAAATTTCAGCATTCATATATTATGCTTTATTATGCTTTAGATGGTAAAGTCGTAATCCAAGAAACCAATACATCATCACACACAGTCACGACAACCACTCAGAGGGTATGTAAACAATGGTTTTTAATCAGATTATATAAAAAATGGTAAAGATGATGTGAAACAGATTAAGTGTTACAATTAATTAAAAACTCAAAATTCTGAACCATTAATGGCATTTAAACCCATGTGATTTTAAAGATCATTTTTTTACAACGGAATAAGAAATAAATGATTTTAAAAAAAATATTTAGAATCTGCATATGCAGTATTTTGTAGTTAATCCACAAGGTATCAAGTCAAATTATACATAAGTTATGTCATAACCCATCGTTGCAACCCACGGCCAAATTGTACAATCTTCTCCAATTCTGACCGTGGTCAAATGAGAAGGAATATTTTGTAGCTCATTAAAATATCGAACAATGAAAATAAAGCAAAGTCAGATATTTTATTTTGATCAGGATTCCCAGTTGCAGTGTAAGAAACACTGTTGAATGAAAGTAAATTGTTCATTTCAATTGGGATAGAACAAACCCATGTTCACTTACAATGTCATATGACGTAACAATAAAGACTGAGGCATCAAGATAAAGATTAGGAAATTTTTTGTGATCAAGCAGCCACGAGCAGGAGAGCTTTATGCTTAAAAGATGTAGTAATGTACCTATATAACCAGACCGACTTATAACCAAGTCCACTCAAACCTAGTACATGTACTAGTATTTCAACTTTTGAACCAATCTTAAAGTCAACTCTTAAACAGTAGTATGCATTGTAACGGATTTTCCCTTTGAGGCCTTGGTTAGGCTGGACCCTATCATGTACTGTCCTGTGTCTGGTTTACGAGTAGAATCTAGATTGTACGTAAGGCTTTAAACAGATATCTAACAATTTTTTCAAAAGGCAGATAATTTATGTATCAATCCTGATATTTGAGCTACAATATAATGTCAATATGTATAAAATATTCTGATTGAATTGGTCATGTTGATCAGGAAGTTTTTTTTTTGTACTGAACAAGATGTGTTTGTGAAACACTATGCGCCTGGCGGTAACAAATTTGCGATATTTAAATATTTTTACATACATATTGAGATAATACTTAATCCTCACAAAATATCCTTATTATCGATTAATCATCTCAGCCTCAATGGCTCCTTTTAAATTTTCCTGGAGTTAAAAAAAAAGATGAATGCTTGAAACTGTGATCATTACTTTTATATTAAATAGCCAAATTATGTTCATTCTCTAAAGTTACTCATTGTCATTGTGCCCCTATTTCATAGCATAAGTACTTTAAAGTTTTAGTAGTCAGTGACAATTTACTTTCTTTTACCTGTAAAAAAAAATAATTGCTTTAAACTTTAAACTCAATCCTTTATTTTGTATATTCGCAGGGGAATAAGGAAGCATACAAAATATTCTACCTTGACTAAATCAGTGGTATATTATGACGTCATAGTAGGCGAGATAACGTCAATTTTAGAACACAAGTTTTCGTAATATTGGTATTCAGAGATGTAATTTAACTCTAGAAAATGAATAGGAACGTGTAAATATTAACAAATATAAAATGTTCTTATTTTGTTATGCTGTATCTGTCATTTTGATTACAATCTACCGTCGATGACGTTATATGTGTACATCAAGTAACTTGGGAATTGATCATATTGTGTAAAGAGATATTGGCTTAAACGGCATGTACAAATGGCTTAGTTTTTTTTATAGAGTAATAGAATATAAAATTTGACAAAATGTAATATTTCATTTTAGTACTTGGATTTAGCGCACACGTTTGGAGGATCAAAGAATTTCAAAGAGATTAAGTCCCAATCGTCGCAATACCATCATTCCTAAAACAAAGTGTTTTTATTGTAAAAATATATTATGCACTCAGGGTATAGAAGTACGTAGATGGTTTAACACTGGAATGCTTTCTAGACCCCCCCCCCCCCCGAGAAAAAAAGCAAACAAACCAAAAAAAAAAAAAACAATCACACATACAATATTGATAAAATTGTTTTAGTAATAAAATATCACCACACGCAGCATCGCAACAAAAAAAATTCTGTAGACCATTATATGTACTAAGTAAAATTTACGGTACTTTTAAAAGTATGGAGAGAGAGAGAGAGAGAGAGAGAGAGAGAGTTTGATATGTGATAAATTCGATACGACATCAATCTTTTAGAAATTACAAAAGAAGTTTTTTTTCTTTAATGGGATTTTATTTGGTTTTTATTTACAAACTTGTAGGCTTCTTTGATCAGTTTATTTTAAGTGTTAAATTTTCACGTAGAGACAACTTAAAATTGAGCGGAATATCTAGATTTAGGGAGGGAGTACATGTACATCCCCGCGCAAGATCCCACAGCGCCCCCCCCCCCCCCAAAAAAAAACTGACGTGAAGCTTGAGAAGTTCTTTGTGTCTACTTTTCTGTATATAACTGGCTATTTAAACATGTTTTCAACTGATCGATAAAATACCCCGCCTACTCCGAATATTAATGTGACACAATTAAAACCCAACTCGGACATGCGCAACATTCCAGAATTAACATCCCCTAGAGAACTTTTTAAATTACCTCGAATAAAACTAAAACGCCGTTTTCTATGAAAATTTTTGCAAGTATAGTACCACACTAATAGCAAAATATCGGGTAGGTGTAAAATTATCAAGATTTGAGTTAATTAGATAAAGTAACAGGGATCCGAAAAAAAGACTACGGCACTATGCTTAAGTGGAAACATTCTTGATAAAATTTGAGAAATAAATTCCTTAATTGATGCTATACAACTTTAGCTTAGTCAAATAAGGTGTTCGGGGCATAATTTGTTAGTAAACAAGATTAAAAACTGTATTTTAAACTGTAATTATCAACGAAAAATTAAGAAAACCAGTCATGAATATGGAAGGTTTTTCATATTCGTCAGAGAAAATGTATCCAGATTGCCTGCAGTCTCCCAGAAAACGGAAATTAGTATGTTCGAGGTCTCTTCTTTAAATCAATATCAAATTTAATATAGGTATCCCGTTTACTTTTCATATTATTTCAAATTGAATGTCATGAAAATACCCTTTTTTCTTCATAATTCTACAAAAGACGTAAAGTACGGGAAAAAGAAAGTTGAAATTGATTATGACGTCATAATGGATCTAGCACCAAAAATTGGTCTAAAGTTATTATGTTCCCCAAACGAAGTTTGGGAACATATTGTTTTTACTCTGTTTCTTATTAAGGTCTTCCGTCTTCAGCGGAAGACCTTACTGTTATTCTTAGGTTTCTTTTCCACTATTTTTATTATTGTTTTTTTTTCTTACCGATTTTGTGCGCGCGAGTTCTCGAGAACGGGTCGATCGATTTTCATGAAACTTTCAGGTCTGATAGAACATAAAAAAATCTAGATAATTTTATATATTTTTTTATTTTGATGACGTCACTTCCGGTTCGGAGTTTTCTGCGATTTAGTGATTTTTAGAGGGTCACTTTGTCCGGCAGTTTTCTCAAAAAGTACTTAACACAGAAGCATGATATTTTCAGTGATGCTAGAGCAAACTTTGGAGAAGTGCCTTTTGTATATCACAACTACCGGAAGTACGACGCGCCGGCGCTCGCTATGGGCCGAAAATAGTCCTATCATGACTTTTAAAATTTTTAACGCCTTTTCTATGATAACTTTTTACCTAGAAATATTTTGTTAAAACATATAGAACAAAAGAAGTGTAGAATTACACGATCTTTCAATTGATATCTCAAAAAAAGGGCTGACCCCTAAAATTAGGGATTTAGAGGGGCCAGCAGTATTTTCCTGATATCTCAAAAAGTATTGACAATTTGTTAAGCATCATAGAAGAAAAGTTGTTCAGAATAACAAATAGCAGATGCGGAGATCATTTAAAGTAGTTAAGATGGCGTCACTTCCGGTCAGACCGGAAGTATTTGTAAATGGCTCGTTTTTGCACACATAACCGTAAATGTCTGACAATCTCGATCTCATCATCTTCAGAATTAGACGGAAGACTTATTTGTTGCTTTGCAACAAGCTCGTCTAGTTATCATTATTTTTCTTCTTGGGAAAATTTTGTCCACGAATGATCTTGTAAACTACACATCCGACTAAGGTGAAATGTTTTTAGGGTCAGTAGACATGTGATGTAGATGTGCGGAACGAAGGTCATTTTGCGCGCACGTGCTTGCAAGAGCGCGCACGTGCAACACGAGAAATGATCAATATAATTGATATAGACGTAAATTTTTCAATTTTTGATGAAATGCTTTGAAACTCATAATATAAGGATATATTAGTAGCATAGACAATATGACATGGTAAAAATAGCAAGATCTCACGCGCATGCACGTGCGCTTTGCTCTGATTGGCTGAAACTAAAGTCTCAGTATCTTTCTTGTTTTTTTGTCAAAATCCTTTGAAATTTTGAACATAGCCATGCATTAGGATATCCTACAACACTATATATAGCAATTTTCATGAAAACACGTGCATGCACGTGCGCTGCAATCTGATTGGCTTAAACTTTAAATAGCTCTAACTCCCTTGGTTTTCAACCAAACAGGATGGGAATTGGAACATGGATAGATATAATGGACTACTACACGAAAGTATGGTCACCATGCACATGCATACACGTGCGTGTACATGCGCTGCGATCTGATTGGCTGAAACTTTGAACAGCTATAACTCCCTTGGTTTTCAACTAAACAGGATGGGATTTAGAACATAGATAGATGTAATGGACATCTACAAGTAAGTATGGTCACCATGCTCATGTATGCACGTGCGTGCACGTGAAATGAGCAAAATCAAATGAACACTTGAATGAGCTAATTTTTTAAATACTTTTGGATTAAATACTTTAATATTTAGTATATCGAAATATATAGATTGTGTAGTCAAGATGAAATGGTCATTCCGCACATGCATTCACGCGCGCACGCGTGAACTGCTAAAATTTGAATAAACTTGGTACACTTCTGGGTAAACGTTGTTAAAGTTTCAAATGCATAGAGTTTGTCTTATTTAATGAAACTTACAGGGAATATGGCACCAAAAGGGAGTTGGAGAGCGTTTGGGGAACATCTGTAACGGTCCCCGTTACAATTAGCACTAGTTTACTACATCTTGACCTTAAAAGCTTAATTTCTAGGGAAATTAGTTTTAGGTTTATAACAACGGTAGGTGTTATTACAATTATAGTGATTAAAATGTGGTGTTTTGAAATGTGTATCAACTTCTTTAGAAATAATCAGTCACAAGTATTCGTTGTATTTAACACAATGAATGAATAAAAAATGTTGGAGAATATAATAAACAATAAAACCTTATCAGTTTCAACAGTTTAGGTATTTTGCAGTCTTGCAATGTGGTTTAAATATTGCGTTAATTATCAGCAACTATCAAAATAAATATTTAAATTATTAGTGGATGTAACCCTTGTTTGGTATTGAAATGCACACTTAACAACTATTGAAATAATTATTGCAATCGTAGTCGTATTTCAATAGTGTTTGCAATCTATATTTGTTATTGAAATACAGTCTGAACCACTTTTGCAATAATTATTTCAATAGTGGTCGTATTCAGTAGTGGTTGCAACAAAGCTCGATTAATTAATTTGTGAATACCTTTTGTAGACTCATACACATGTAACATCATGAAATTTATAAACACATTCCCTTTCAAAACATTGAGTTTTAAAACTTCAGATAATGATAGTAGAGAATATAAACTTTTAACATGAAATGTTAAATAATTTCAGGGTTATGTCTCGTACTGAAGCTCGTTAATATTAAGTTTTATTGCAAGAAAATGTGACCTTAATTTGTGCGAAAAACCATGTGAGTTTAAAAAATGTGTGTTGAGTTGTACAATGAAATGTACAAAGGTTTTTAAACAATTTGGTAAACTGAAATTTAATTCATTAACCATTTCCCCTCAATCATGAAACACATTTTTCTTCATAAACCTAAATGTACATAGATTGATAACAAATAATTTACGCATACCAACACAATGACAGCTCCCTAGTGAACAGGACGGGTGGCCACGAATGCAGTGACAATCTCCGTTGGAATGACAATCTGTAAAGGAAATGGTTAATATATGCCCAGGAGTATCATGTCATACAATTATTAACATTCAAATCCATCATAAATCTTTTAATAATAAAGGTAGCTATTCGTCTAAAATGTGATGCAGTAAGCTACATATCTCTGACCTTTAGACTGGAAAAATAAAATCAAATTCGAGAAATATAAATACGATGGTTGTCCGAAAAAGTCGTAGACAATGTTAATAACTTTTTTAACACGCAACCTATACTAACCAAATTTTGCATAGACATAATACATTCATTGTTCTTTAAAATTGTGAATTCTAAAATATGTATCTTTCATATTAATTACATTGGGACGATTTATATGAAGGCACGACCAAAATTCGGAATAATTTACGCACATAACTATTACATTTGTTTTTATTTCTTTGGTGCTATGTAAAAAATTGAACTAGAATTTAAATCACTTAAACCAGAATCAAAATCTTAATAATATGTCAAATTTTCATATAAATAGCATTAGAAACAGATGACTGGTGGCATTATTTTCAAAGTGTTGTTCGAAGTGAGATTGATGAAAATGACGTCTTCGAACGCGTACCCGGCGCACGGAAAGGTAATAAATTGTTTTTGGTATGTTTATATTCATGCGAGACGGGGAAGAAGAGTACAGAAAGGATATTACACAGTATATTTTAATAGAAAAGTTGTTTTTAATAGTATGAGATTCAAAGGTAGTTTTTCCTTTATATCGAAAAAAATAGTTATTGCATGTAAAGTAGAGTACTAATTGTTTGACTCAGACATTTGGGAATGTTCTGGACCATGAACGTCGTCAAACAAGGTGTACTCTCTGCTGCTTAAAATGCAAGGTGATCTTTGAAATAATTTAATTTTGAATAAAATATGAATCTGCGTAAGAAAACGGACAGTATTGAATTTCAATTATTCCCTTAGTCAATTGTGGTTTATCACTATAAAAATATTCATTTGGATGTTAATAGCCTCACGTGAAGCAGAAAAGGGACCATGACGTTATGAGAGACGTTAATTACGCTTGCGTTCGTGCGCCAATGTACACTTACATGGTTTCTTTATTTTTTCATAGTTTCCTAATTAAATGTGCTATTGTCATGAAACTTGAAATTCATGATCATAAAATGCTACTCTTTGCTATGACAAGATAAGAAATTTGATTTAGCATAGTGAAAATAAACTATGTTCCCTGTCTACGACTTTTTGGGACAACCCTCGTACATACTTTTTTTATACATCAACTATTATACTTCATTTATTATAGCATCCACAAGTCAATTTTTATATTTGATATTTACCACATGTATTATATACTGTCTTAAAGCATATGGAGAGTAGAAAAAGAAAATATAACATTTTGGGTTTCTAGTCATAAGTTGTTACTAAAAATAGACTGCTAAAAAGTAGTGCTTGCACTTTTTTATGTGACCATTTTGTTTTTCAAAGTAGCTGGTTTTGAATGAACAGCAAATACTTTGAAAAATTAGATCTTAAATTAAAATAATATGTTTGTTTGTTAAAGACACTTATATATGACACATTTAATTATTTTATTGTTAACTTCACTTCTTCTACTACAATACATCACAAGTAAAAATGTGTATTATTGCGCCAACGTTAACACTTACAAAAATGACGTCAAACTTTTTAACTCTAAAAATTATAAGGATGTAGGGAAAAATAAATTATCAAATAAATGCACTGAAGCTGAATTATTTTTTGTGTGTGCAATAGAAGTTTAAAACATAATTCTTAAATCTTTGACAATTTCTCTGTACTCTTGCATATATGTTTAAAAGTACATGTTTAAAATGTATGGTATCTACCGGTAATCTCCGGCACTTGACAGTTATTAGAGCAGTTAAAATACAAAAGCTTAATCTTTTCCTGTAATAGTGTTTAGATTATATAAAAACAATCAAATAACACAGACAATCAATGTAAAAAAAATGTAGTTATTTAATATTCATGGTTAATTTAAACAGATTTCAGAACTTTTAATAGATTTGACAAAAGTTCCTTGTGTGTCAATGTTTGTCTTTTTCCATCATGACTCTTTCTAGAAAATGAGAACAGTTTTGTTCAAGAACATTCTGTTTTAAAACATTTTTACGGTACCGGAGCTGGGCTTTCAAAGCATTGACTTTGTCTGATGTGCGTCCATACTCCTTTATTCTCAATTTACACTCGCGGGCTGATTTCCATAAACCATAGAAAATAATGTCATCACTCTGTTTTTCCAGTTGTGCTTGTTTTCTTCTCTTTTTCGGAACTCTTCTTCTTGTTTCTCCTCCCTCTGTCGTTGAATTTCTCCCTTTCTTTTTGAGAATAAATCTCTTTCAGTAGAAACGGATTTTCTAGCTTCCGAAATAAGGTCTTCCATAGCCTCTTTGTTTCTTATTATCCATGTGGATGTCTTGTTCATTAGGAAAAGTGTGTAAGCCTCAAGAGCTAGAGCTGATATATTAGGTTTAACTCTTAAAATTTGGTCCATATACGTGAACAGTAGCTCAGAATAAGAATTACTTTTGTCCACACTCTTGGTAGCCAGTGAGAGCTCCTCAATAAAAGTTTCATATTTACCATCTGGCATGTGGTTTTTATAGACATGCAGTACTACTTTCCGGATCGCTGGTAACAGGACACGTAGAATGATTTCCAGATCAGTATCATAATTAGACTCTTTGGTCAGGAATTCAAATACTCTGTCGCCATTAAAGTCTATTCCTGTTAAAGCTGGAAAGGTTCCCTTTATAAAATCAGCTAGATTTTCAGTTACATCCGCCAAATAATTTGATAGATGGAGATAATTTTGTGTCATGTCTTCAATTGATGTATCCTTGTTCTCGAGAATATTCCAAAGGGGTGTTGTAATCATCTTTGAAATCAATCCCAGGGCTTTCAGTCCGGCAACATAAAAAGAAACTTTAAGATCTGAGAGAACAGACTTCAGAAGCCTTTTGTTTTCAATATCTGATTTCTCCAGAAATTCAGTCATGTGAGGATGAAGAAAGTAAAGGCATGCAGCATTTTGAAATAAAATGTTGAATCTGTTGCCCTTAAATGGTTGCAGAGGAAGTGAGATCATTCTGTTTTCAGTAAGAAATGGCTGCATGTATGTTCGGAATGCCCCATAACACCCACACTTTTCATCACCTCTTCTTGCAAAAGCCTTGCATGCACTTCTTATTAAGCGAAAACAACCTGATTCATCACTTTTAGAGAAATTCTCATCAAAAATTGGTGGGTTTCCATCGAAATTCCCCTTTTCTGCTTCACATAATCCCTTCTGGGCTGCATTCGCCAAATGTACCAGGCCATGAACACCGCAGAAGAAATTGTTCAGTCTGCTTACTGTTTCTTTTTCAACATCATCCAATGCGTGGTAATCTCCCTGTATCTGTGGTAGCAGCTCTTCCCTGTAACTTTCTAATAGCTCATTAAACTTTAATTCTGTAGCGGCACGATCACTCATCGTATTTTGGATATTGCAGATAATTTTGTTTCCAACATTCTTCTGGGTTTCCTCGTTGTTGTCAGAAATATCATGTAAAATTTCTTTAAATGTGTCCAGTGTGTTTTGTGCTGATTTTGTGGCCATTTCACGAAGTCCTAATGCAAAATAATTACCTTCTTCATCACGAACAGAAAACCCACCATATTTAATGCCAAACTTCGATGTCTCATCAGTGTGCAAGGTGGTTTTGATTTTTTCTGACAGTTCTTCTTGTAGTTGCTTTTTGGCTAGACAGAGTCTTTGGATATTCATATTAACAACTGTTGATGGAGAAGGTAGTCGGTCAGGTTCTTTTCCTGCTAACTTCAAACAGGTTTCCATGGCTGGTCCTAAATCAAAATATGAACTTTTATGTAAAATGTGCATTTACTTTATGTTGGTGCATACATCAAGTAAACAAATCTGAAAAAAAAGAATTAAAAAAAAATTAACAGTTTTAGTTGATGGGACATTGTGTTCGAGAAGAGAGTACACACACAAATGAAGTTCTGGAGTGAATACTTTCTCTTTCTTGTCAAATAGATTGATGACTTTGGTGTCAGTCAAATCATGCAGCTGCTCCATGAGATAGGGAATTTCATCTTTTTCCTTAAGGGTATGCTGAAGCTCATTGACAGTGATTCTGAGTTGGTCATTTTCAGCTTGTAGCTCATTTAGAAGTGCTTGGTAGTCTTCTTTAGATGTGTCATCTGATGTTTCCAATTTTGTACACTTAGTTTTCCAGTAGTCCTCTTTCCGTTTAGTGCGTTTGACAGCTTGGTTTGATGATTTCAGTTTCTCATGTAGCACTCTATTTTGCTTTATTACATCTTCTGATTTTATGTTGAGTGTCTGCATGTGATCATGAGATATTGTTTCAGTCAACTCAGGCTTTAGTGCTATTTTCTCCTTAGTCAGATTCTGGTTTTCCATGAACACTGAGTTTGAAATGGACATTGCAGTAGAAAAGGCATCACCGCTAGAACTGATCAGATATGTAGCTTCGGGCATTTTGGGAGTCACTGTATTTGATACTTTAGGTGGAGCAAATTCTGTTTCTAGGAACTCTGCTACCTTCAGATTCAGATTTGTTTTTCTGAATTTTTCATATTCTGACCACAGTCGCCTAATAGCCACACTAATTGATGTCGGGTTACAGTTACCAGAATATGACTCAATCCATTGGGCAGTTTTGGATACGCCATGTGCTCTTTTAAAGTTCATGCCATCAGCATTTAAAATCCTGGGAGTAGTACAAGACATCTTATGATCAGCTTATTGAATAATAATAGCGATGAGACAAATTTTCACTACTAAAAATTGAGGGTAATATCTAAATTTAGGGAGGGAGTACATGTACATCCCCGTGCAAGATCCCACAGCGTCCCCCCCCAAGGTCACAGGAAAGGTCAAGGTAAAAAAGAGTGAAGCATTGTAAAGCTTACATCAGTATGTATCATCATGTGAAGTTTCATTACACAACTTGAATGGTTTCTTTAAAATAAAGCTAAACAGTAATTTAAGGAGGCTAGTGGGTCAACAAATTATTTTTTTATTAACCACCAGATATAACTTAAATTTTGGGATATGATATCTTAAGCTGTCAACTATCATTTGGCAAAGAAAAATTTCATAAATTTGAATTTCAAAATTTGATCATTTTATTATATCTTTATATGGAGCTCTTCTTCTAAAGGAGATCAAAATAGTCTAAAAATGGCCACAACCACTTAGCCTCTATTAAGAAAAATTAAGTGAAGGGCAAAGGAAAAGTCAAAGTCAAAAAATATTGCTGCAGTTGGATATTTACATCAGTATGCATCAACATATGAACTTTGATAAAAATATCTAGAAAGTTTCTTTGAGCCCGATGGAAAGACAGATGGAAGGGTGGAGGACGGACATGACAAAAACTATACATGTATTCTTAATCATGGTGTGGCATAAAAAACTTGAATCTACATTATATGAGGATGTTTCCATCTATCAAGATTATACTTGTAAGCAAATTCAAAGAATTGTGGTCCTCTGCTTTCTGTGTTTTAGTGAATGGGATGCCATAATTTATGGCAGATTATGTGTCAAATATGCACCACTATCATATATCAATTTTTGAAAATTAGGTTAAAGAGGAAAAATCATAGCATGCTCTGAAACATTTTGTTGCAGGTAATGTACATGTCAAATATAAAAGTCCTATCTCTTTTGAATCAAAATTTATACATACAATATAATATTTTTGAAAAGTAGGTTAAACTTCTAGGTCAAGGTCACAGAGTCAAAAGTCATGATATATTTAGAAAAGTCTTTTCACATGAAATAAACATGTATAATTTGAATGCCCTTTCTTTTCTCTTTCAAATTGATCAATTTAAAATGTTATCTTTTGGAAAGTAGGTAAAACTTTAAGGTCAAGGTCTCACTTGGGTTAAAAAATCATAGTATATTTAGAAAGTTTTTTGGTAATGTACATGTGAAATATGAAAGCACTATCTCTTATTATTCAAAAGTTATGACCGAGGTTAAATTTATTGTGACAGATGCACATACTAGCTGTCAATAAGATGGACAAACTGACAGACAAATGAGATTTAATGTCCCCTCCCTTTCCCCAAAACGGGGGACAATAATGCCCTTGCTGTTCTTGAGAAGAAGATTTATGATGGAAAAAATCCCCTGCATATTTCTTAACACAAATCAATATTGTGTTTTTATGTCATTTTGTTTGTTGTTAAACATCCCTCTCAGGAATTTTTCACTAATATGGAGAAACCACCACTTGAAAAATAATGAGGACAAGTTAGATTTGAGGTCAACATTCATTTTAGGAGTTTTCAACCATTAAGAGATAAAGAAATATTAACTCGATCCTTCCCCTCTCCCCTTCCCAGACCCTTGTTTGTTTATGTATGCAAACTACTACTTGTTTTTACATTTTAAAAAAAATTATACAAATAGTTTAATGTAGTCCATCTCTGAATGATTTTCATTCCTAATTCTAGGAAGATAGGTTGACACAAATTGATGAATAAAATGTCAAGCAAACTTATCATTGATGCACTTTTATTTAACTTAATGCAGTCTTATTGTGAACATTTCCAGCTCATTATAGGAGAGTGAGGATGACCTCCAGGGGTCCATAACCTTTATACCATTAAATTTACATAACATAATAACACAAGAAGCAAAATTATGGATAGTCAAATGGAAAAACTTTCCAACTATTTAGGAGTCACATGATCATTTGTCATTACAGGGACAGGGAGTGGATTGGGAGATACCCCCCTCCCCGGAATTTGCAGGACTATTATATATACTGGAGGAAATAAAAATGACTTTGGATGCCTTAAGTGTCCTTCCACCCTAGAAAACAGACCCAACCATAACTTTTTTTTTTTTTTTTTTTTTTTGCTTCTCAAGAAATTCTGGTCTGCCCCCCTCCCTCCCAGTCCCAGAAAAAAAATCTGGATCTTGTAACTGATTGTAACGTTGATAACGGGGGATAACTCTTCAGAATGTCAGCATCATCGACCTTTGATCCTTTAAACTTGAACCTAACCGTTTGCATTTCAGACTATTTTACCCAAATCTATACCAAAACTTTGTACTTACCGATTGTCATTATTTAGGTCCTGTTATCTTCATGAAATATAATCCAATTAAAACACAAAATGAAATAATTCCTACTGACATATATGCATTGATGTGTATGCCACACTAGTAGCCTACTGCACGTGCAGTGAAATCTAAAAATGATAATGCCAATGGTAAAACTAGTACTTAAGTTGGACACATGACGCAAGCCCAAAGTGATGCAGGTGTTCAGATACATACATGTTTAGTGCAGGAACAAATTGAAAATTATCATTTACAAGAGATGTTTTATTTTAACTTTGCCATCTAGGCCTATTTCCAAAAACAGGCAAATAAGGTGTGTTTGTGTGTGTGCATGATGTGTTGATGGGAGAGGGGTGGGGGTTGACTAAATTGATTGTGTATATGGCAGCTTTCAAGAAGTTTAGAACTGCCTAGTCAAATATAAATAAACTTTGCACATTTTGAAAAATTCATCAAAAACGCTTTACACTAATTTGAATAATATTATTTGTTGTTGATCTATAAGATATGAGAAAATAGATTTAAAAAGTTCCAAATAACCCCCCCCCCCTTTATCAAACCTAATTTACATCATTAATTTAATTCTGTTGTTTAATTTCAGACTGGTAATGAATTAAGAACATGAAATACCTATTAGATGGAGGCCCATGGGTCACATGGTCACCTGAGCATATTATGCTCAATTTGATGAATACATGTATTATGTAAATTATTGAATTATATTGACTTTTTCCTTGATAAAGCCCAATATGAAGAAGTGTGCATTTAGAGGCAAACACCTTAGTGCAGGTATTACTGTCTCATGACAGCATCTAGTTATTTTTTATCATTATTATCATTTTCAAAAGATGTTTTATCGTAAATTTGCCATTTAGGCCTATTTCCAAAATCAGGCAAATAGGATGTGTTTGTGTGTGTGTGTTGATGGGAGAGGGGTAGGGGTGGGGGTTTATTAAATTGATTGGGTATATGGCAGCTTTCAAGGAGTTTCTGCCTAATCAAATATAAAAAAGTTTGCACTTTTTGAAAAATTCATCAAAAACGCTTCACACTAATTTGAATAATATTATTTGTTGTTGATTTATATGAGAAAATAGATGTAAAAAGTTCCAATTATGGGCCAAAAGTTTATACCCCCCTTTATCAAACCAAATTTACATCATTAATTAAATTCTGTTGTTTAATTTCAGACTGGTAATGAATTAAGAATATGAAAAACCTTTAAGATCGAGGACCATGGGTCACATGGTCACCTGAGCATATTATGCTCAATTTTATGAATTATGTAAATTAGTGATTCAGGTGACCTAAAATGCATGAGTGGTCCCTTTGATCCCTATATTATGGCCCCATCCTACCCCCGGGGGTAATGATTTGAACAAACGAATCTACACTACAAGAGGATGCTTCCACATGAGTTTCATTTTCCATGGCCCAGTAATTCTTGGGAAGATTTTTTTAAAAAAGATTTTCTTAAGATATCCCTTTGTTTAATTTTGACTACTTATCATGGCCCCACCCTACCCATGGGGGTAATGATTTTGACAAACTTGAATCTAGACTACCAGAGGATGTTTCCACATGAGTTTCATTTTTCCTAGCCCAGTGATTCTTGAGGAGAAGAATTTTAAAGATTTTCCTGTATTCCTGTGTTAAACTATGATCCCCATAATGGCCCCATCCTACCCCTGGGGTCATGATTTAAACAAACTTGAACCTACTTACCAGAGGATGCTTTCACGTGAGTTTCATCTTTCCTAACCCAGTGATTCTTAAGAAGAAGATTTTAAAAAGATGCCATTAATTTTCACTGGTTCCTAATTATCTCCCCTTAGAAGAGGGCATGGCCCTTCATTTGAACAAACTTGATTCCCCTTCACATAAGGATACTTTGTGACAAGATTGATTTAAATTTACCCAGTGGTTCTTGAGAAGAAGATGAAAATGTAAAAAGTTTACGACGACGACGACAACAACGACAGACACCAGAAAAATTTTGATCGGAAAAGCTCACCTGAGCAGCCTTCAGAAGAAGGATATGGAGATAACGAACAGTATTCAATCTCAAAGTCCATTAAACAATATACAAAATCAGAGCAGAGCAAACACGGACCTCCGAAACATCGGAGGTGGGATCAGATGCCATGGAGGAGTGAGCATCCCCTGTCGACCGGTCACACCCGCCGTGTGCTCGTTGTCATGATCAGGAAATAACAGAAAAAATCCGTCGTCAATTCAGTGTATATATAATGGACTAACAATTGGTATGAAAAACGTCAGTCAGCATTTGACTCAGTGATATATTGTATTTGCTGACAAGGTCATTGTATCGACCATAAAACTTACGAAATGATGACATGATGATAGACTGCTGATACTCATGTTTCATCAACTTGCTTGTCAATAATTTACTTCGTTTAAGAAATTGTTCAGGTGAGCTAAAAATGATTCGAACATATATGTGCACTGACAAAGTATCTGATTTTTAATATCATATATTTTTAAGATCATCAAATATTGTTAGAGACTGTAGAATATCGAACAAAGAGTTGAGCTTCAGAATTGTAATTGATCAAACGACGTGTGCTCCTAATCAGGATCGGGAAAAACAAAAACAAAAGAAAAGAACAGGTCCAGGGGCCAGATTGCTCACCTGGGCAAATCGGCTAGGAAAAAGCCTAAATCAGATCAGAACTGAAATAAATTACTGAAGGGGGGGGGGGGGGGGGGGGCTTGAATTTAATACTACTTGAGAATGCCTTCATATTAATACAGCATATTACATGTACTTTGCTGTTCTTGATAAAAAGATTTTTAAAAACATTTTCTTCCTATATATAACTTCATAAAAATTTGAATATGATTCCCCATTGTTTCCCTCCCTATCCAAAAGGGACATGATTTGAATGAATTTAAATCAGGATTTGAACAAACTTAATTCTACACTACCCAAAAATGTTTCCATATAAATACTAGTATCACTAATCACTAATTGCTTTGCTATTCTTGAGAAGATTTTTTTAAATATATTTCAAGGTAAAACTTGGATCCTCCTTAGTGAACTCGTCCTAGCCCTGGGGGTTATAATTTGAGAAAACTAGAATCTACACTACCTGAGAATGATTCCATATAAATATCACTAATCACGGCTTTGAAGTACTTGAGGGATAATTTTTAAAGATTTTCCTATCTAGTCCTATGTAGAACTTTGATCAGCCATATTGGCCCCATCCTACTCCCTGGGGTCATATTTGAAAACACTTGAAATTACGCTACCTGATGATTTCACATGAGTTTCATCTTTCCTGGCCCAGTGGGTTTTGGGAAGAAGATTTTTCAAGATTTTCCTTATATACGCCTAAAACTTTGATCGGCCATTGTGGCCCCACCCTACCCCTGGGGTCATAATTTGAACAAACATGAATTTACACTACCTGATAATGCTTCCACAAGAGTTTCATTTTTCCGGGCCCAGTGGTTCTTGAGAAGAAGATTTTTTAAGATTTTCCTTATAAACTTCTATTAATACTTTGATCGGCCATTGTGGTCGCACCCTACCCCGGGTGTCATAATTTGAACAAACTTGAATCTACACTACCTGAGGGTGCTTCCACTTGTGTTTCATCTTTCATGGCGCAGTGGTTCTTGAAAAGAAGATTTTTAAAGATTTTTCATATAAACTCTTATGTAAAACTTTGATCGGCCATTGTGCCCCACCCTACCTCGGGGGGTCATGATTTGAACAAACTTGAATTAACACTACCTAAGGATGCTTCCACATGAGATTCATCTTTCCTGGCCCAGTGGTTCTTGAGAAGAAGATTTTTAAAGATTTTCCACATATACTCCTATGTAAAACTTTGATCGGCCATTGTGGCCCCACCCTACCCCTGGGGTCATAATTTGAACAAACTTGAATCTACACTACCTGAGGGTGCTTCTACATGAGTTTCATCTTTCCTGGCCAAGTGGTTTTTGAGAAGTTTGAGAAGAAGTTTTTGAAAGATTTTCCATTTATACTCCAATGTAAAAATTTGATCGGCCATTGTGGCCCCATCCGATCCCCGGGGTCATGATTTGAACAAACTTGAATTTACGTATACACTAGCTAAGGATGCTTCCACATGAGTTTCATCTTTCCTGGCCCAGTGGTTCTTGAGAAGAAGATTTTTTTAATAATTTCCATATATACTCCTATGTAAAACTTTGATCGGCCATTGTGCCCCACCCTACCTCGGGGGGTCATGATTTGAACAAACTTGAATTAACACTACCTAAGGATGCTTCCACATGAGATTCATCTTTCCTGGCCCAGTGGTTCTTGAGAAGAAGATTTTTAAAGATTTTCCACATATACTCCTATGTAAAACTTTGATCGGCCATTGTGGCCCCACCCTACCCCTGGGGTCATAATTTGAACAAACTTGAATCTACACTACCTGAGGGTGCTTCTACATGAGTTTCATCTTTCCTGGCCAAGTGGTTTTTGAGAAGAAGATTTTTAAAGATTTTCCCTTTATACTCCAATGTAAAAATTTGATCGGCCATTGTGGCCCCATCCGATCCCCGGGGGTCATGATTTGAACAAACTTGAATCTACACTACCTGAGGGTGCTTCCACTTGTGTTTCATCTTTCATGGCGCAGTGGTTCTTGAAAAGATTTTTTAAGATTTTTCATATAAACTCTTATGTAAAACTTTGATCGGCCATTGTGGCCCCATCCGATCCCCGGGGGTCATGATTTGAACAAACTTGAATTAACACTAGCTAAGGATGCTTCCACATGAGTTTAATCTTTCCTGGCCCAGCGGTTCTTGAGAAGAAGATTTTTTAATAATTTCCATATATACTCCTATATAAAACTTTGATCGGCCATTGTGCCCCACCCTACCTCGGGGGGTCATGATTTGAACAAACTTGAATTAACACTACCTGAGGGTGCTTCTACATGAGTTTCATCTTTCTTGGCCCAGTGGTTTTTGAGAAGAAGATTTTTAAAGATTTTCCCTTTATACTCCAATGTAAAAATTTGATCGGCCATTGTGGCCCCGCCGATCCCCGGGGATCATGATTTGAATAAACTTGAATCTACACTACCTGAGGATGCTTTCACATGAGTTTCATCTTTCTTGGCCCAGTTGTTCTTCAGAAGAAGATTTTTAAAGATTTTCCTTTTATACTTCTATGTTAAACTTTGATAGGCCATTGTGGCCCCGTCCTAAATGTACCCCCAGGGGTCATGATTTGAACAAACTTGAATCTACACCACCTAAGGATGCTTTCATATGAGTTAAATCTTTCCTGGTCCAGTGGTTCTTGAGAAGATGCCATTAATTTTTCACTTATTCATAATCATTTCCTCTTGGAAGAAGGCGTGGCCCTTCACTTGAACAAACTCGAATCCCCTTTACCTAAGGATACTTTTTGGCAAGTTTGACTGAAATTGTCCCAGTGGTTCTTGAGAAGAAGGTGAAAATGTGAAAAGTTGACGACCACTTCGACGACGACGACAGACAGTGGACACATTTTGATCAGAAATGCTCACTTGACCCTTCGGCTCAGGTAAGCTAAAAAATAATGGCCTAAGAATTAGTATGAAAAATGTCCGTCAGAATCAGACTCAGTGATAGATTGTATTAGCTGACAAGACCAAAAAATTTGGCAAAATGAGGACTTCAATCGGGACTGATAATATTATTGTTTCATCGAACTGTCTGTCGATAGTTTTTCCCATTCTAGAAACTGCTCATATATGCATACATGTACGTAAAGTATGACCTTGCGCATCGAATTAACCCATGATATGCATGAGAGATTCAAACCCCATATGCAGGTAAAACGAGTGTATTGCTAAAATCATAAGCAAATATCTACTAGTAATAATCGAGATGTTGAAGCCATCACGTACATCGTAAAGCGTTAATTCACTATTTAAAAAGTCATGCTGCTAAAAATGAGATGTGATACATAATATATCGAGTCGACAAATGAATGGAAGTGACTACATGTTAATTGATATAACGTCGTCCGTATGTCGAAATTTCGTGGGCCACAGCAAGTGTTTTCGTCTTCTCGTGTAGACATTTTCAACAATATCTGCTTCGTATAAAAACAAAAAGTCTGCTATAAAAGTAGGCACAATTTGTACCTGTTCAAGTTCAGATAACCTTAAGATCGATATCTTTATAACATTACTGTATCATTAAAATGTAATTGTTACCTTTACAATGACAGGTACCAGTAATGTTGGTATGTTTGTGGTGATGGGCTACGGTAAGTCGACAGTGAGGTACTTTGTTACCACAAGCATGGGCCATGCAGTCTTGATCATTACTACATCCTTTTATCAGAAGAATACTTTTAATTAGTTATTACGGATATGTGCATTGACCGTTATAAGTAAAAATGTATCTTTACTTTTATGATGACTTTTCTCACTACATAACTTACCCCTTTCTCAATTTTTTTACAAGCCATTTATCCTTTCAAATTATTTATGCTTTTTACCATACCATGAAAGTGTTCCTCACCTGCGGCTTGGACTTGATTGTAAATTCCTTAAAAGAATTATATGTATATGTATGTATCTAAACTGAATATTAGGTATTTCTCTTATATTTAAAAAAATTAAATATTGTGGTTTCATCAACTTTTTTTGGCATCAATTTTCGTGGATTTTGTAAAACAGACGTTTTCGAGGATACGTAATTTCGTGGACAAAAGCATTGCCTACACAGATTAATAAAATATTTCTTAATTCAATTAAGATTTAAATTTGTGGATCTGCTCAATAACGAAATCCTCGAAAATTGGTGCTCAATGATTATTAATGAAACCAAAGTATTTACTGTTAACATTGCGCCGATTACATTATCAGAATGCAAACTTTATAAGACGCTTTTTTTTAAAATCATGGTTACAAGAGACGACAATAATAATTTCAAAATTAATAAAAAAAAAAAAAAAAAAAAAGAGGAAAAATAAAATGACGCATACTAAATTCTTCATTTTATTTCGCCTTATCAATCAAACAGTTGGTGAATCGACAAAACTTGCTTTTAGACGCACGGTCTTTAGAATGTCGTGATAAGAAATAACAGCAGGTAAATGTGTCATTTCTGAAATATTATCTGGCAATTGAAGAAAATTTACAAGGAATTCGGAGACGGAAGGAATTCACGTGAAATTTTGTCGCTGAAAAATATTCATGTCAATGATCTGCCTCCTCAACACCGCCGATATAGACTTCAAATATCAGACCAATACGATAGATAATGGCTAGAACAACACTGCTAAATAATTTGATTTAGCTATGAAGTCTAGATTTTTTTAAAACCTGATGGAAGAGTTAAAGTGCAAAAGCTTCGTTATGAGCGATTTGCAAAAACACTGCTACCAAGAGGTAGATATAGTACTGGTTTTGCCTTATATGATATTCACAGTGTTGACTGATAATATTCAAAAAGACTTTTACCGATTCAATAATAATCGGAGAATGTCTAACTTGCACTTGTATTCAGCATCTTTATACATGTAGCCGTAGGATCCGCACACTCTAAAAAAAGTGTTACTTAGTAATTTATATTTACTTAAATTTGTGTATGTAAGTAATAACATATTACTTGGTTTTTACTTACAGTTTACCACGAATTACTAGCTATTACTAAAATATTTTTAAATTGCTATATTTAATTGTTTTACTTAAAACAATAAATTATTTACTGCATCAAGGAGGATTCAGGGCAGCTGCAGAACAAATTACTTAAATCTGGTAGTCTAATTACTATATATATATACTATAATGAAAAAAAAAATATCAAAATTTTATTTTAATTCCTATATATAGCTAATATTTTTTTTGCCCCCGTAAACGAAGTTTCGGGGGTATGTAGTTTTTGTCGTGTCCATCTGTCTGTCCCTCTGTCTGTCCGTTTCTCTGTTTGTCCGCAAAAACTTTAACCTTGCCCATAACTTTTGATTTAGCTGAGCTATGACTTGCATATTTCACATGTCCATTCCTTTTAACAAGACCTATCTTTGAGTATCGCCAAATTTGACCTTGACCTTGGAGTTTGACCCACTTTTACAAATTCCAAACTTTTTCTTTAGCCATATCTTTTTAACAGTAACTACCAGGACATTAATACTTCACATTTATACTCTTTGTTGAAAGACCTTTCATTAGATAACAACAGCCATGACCATTTGACCTTGACCTTAGAGATTCCAATCCTTGTGAAAAAACTTTAACCATGGCCATTACTTTTGAACGATAAGGGATAGGGCTTTCATACTTACATATATGTAATTCCTGTGAGATTGATCCTTGACCATGGAGTTTGATCTACATTTCAAAGTTGGTAAACTTGACCATAACTTCTGAAGGGTTCGGGCTAGTGCTTTCATATTTCAGATATGTATTTTTTGTGGCAAGACCTTTCATTAGATACCAATAACATTTACCATTTGACCTTGAGCTTTGAGATATCAAGAAGTACCAATATATTGAATTTGCATATAAGAAAAGTGAAACCTTTGCTATTTTGCCATATGGGGGGGGGGGGCATTAGTGTTTCACAAACACATCTTGTTTAAATTGTATTCAATTGATTTACTTAAAACATTAATTTATTTACTGAATCAAGCAGTTGCAAAACCAATAATTACTTAAAAATGGTAGTCTAATTACTATCAGGATTGAATTCTTAAATTGTCATATTAATTGTCTGTGAGGAGGAGTTATCTTTCTTCTAAATATTCCTTCATGTAAAAAAAAAAGTTATACTAATTGAAATGCTGTATTAAGTACTTGAAAGTTTAAACTATTTTTAAAATGGTCCTTAAAAATATACAAATTATTCAATTTAGAAGGCTTTTGATGTTGGAATTAAATGTTTCATTGCTAAATATAATAAAACAATTACAAAGAAATAATGTCGATTTTAGTAAATATGATAAGCATTTCATTTACTTAGCATTCTCATAAGTAATAGTATTCTAGATATCTATTAATTCCAGAATTACATTTATTTAGTATTAATTTATAAAATCTATTAAATAGAAAGAGTATTACCTCTAAATTCAGTAATAATGATTTACTAAAAAATAGTAAAAATGAGTAGTTCATTTACTAAGTAATATAATTCCTATTAAGTATTTATACTTAGTAAATCATTTTATAAGTAAATGAATTCATCTTTATGTAAAGGAGAAAGGCCTCAAACTGTCCATTCTGTAAGAGAAAGAACTAATCGAGAGCCGTTGGACTGAGATTATTTCTTTCTCTCACGGTTTGAGGCCTTTCTTTTACTTAAAACATGATTCTCTTTGTTCTAAGAATTTAAATAAAAATGTGAAAAAAAGGTAGCACACATACAATTAATTCATTGTTTACAGAATGGACAGTTATAGGTAAGCTTGGGGTGCACAACAATTTGTTGAATATCCATTATGTATTCAGATTCAAATAACAAAAGGTCTTTGTCTAAAGAATGGACATTTACAGGTGGATTTTGGGGGATGGTAGTATTTATATAAGAATGTAACTCCACAAAATCAGTTTATATTTTGCGTTGTAAAGGAAAACATGTTTCCCTTTTATGGAGATCCGGAATAATTTTATGACAGAATCGAAATCGAATTGAAACAAAAATATGCACAAAAGCAGTGATATTTTGACCTGGAAACAGAGAATAGGAAGCGTAAAAGAAAATATTATCCAAATTTTGATTTCCTTAAAACTTCGACGACAAATACAGATATTTCGAATTCCAACCGGATTTTTTTTTCAATTTTAAATCAGTTTTTGGGGATATATAATAATTGCAGCAGTGTATTTGTGAAATGCAAATTGTGTTCCGAGTGTTGGATAGCCATGAGCCACACTTCAACTTGAAAATATATTTTATATCAGATCTGGAAGTTTTAATTTTAATTATTTTCTACGGAAATATTCACTGCGGCAGTATAGTTTTCATGGTGCATACTGTTTTTGGGTGATGGATTTAATATTAGCCTACTTCAAGCTTAAAATGGATTCTTCTCGAGGGAATGATGCTTCCAAAATGTGAAATTGTGTCATTCAATTCAAATTTTGTTAAAAAACAAACAGATCCGATGCAGACACTGTGTTCAGGATTAACTTAAAAAATCTCCAAGTTCATTTTGTTATTTGCATGTACATTAAATCATATTCAGAGCTGCCAACCCTTACGATTTTGGCGTAAGTCTTACGAAATTAGCATCCAAAATACGCCTTACGATTTCTCTCTATATTCTTCCGATTTCAGTTTTTCTCCATCAAAGTTTATAATACCGGGATTTTCATAACTGGTCGTCTACAGTTTCTTACGGAAGCCCAATAGTACAAACCAAAAATAAATAAAGAAAAACGAAATTAATATATAAAGAGAAACGAAATTAATATATAAAGAAAAACGAAATTATTAAATAAAGAAAAACGAAATTATTAAATAAATCAGTTCGTTTTCCTTTATTTAATAATTTCGTTTTTCTTTATATATTAATTTCGTTTTTCTTTCTTTAATAATTTCGTTTCTCTTTATTTAATATTTTCGTTTTTTCTTTATTTATTTTTGGTTTGCACTATTGGGCTTCCGTAGTTTATAAAATTATAATTAAATATTTATAATCCTTACATTGGTTACTTGCATCGTCGTTTCAGTTTTAGCTGGCCGATCGCATTCATGTCAATGTTTTAAAGTAAACAAAATGGAAACGTGCCTCAAATTCCTCGATTACGTGTCCATTTACAAAATATCTTCAGCGACAGGGGACTGAGGCGGTCCCCGTACCACGCCTTACTATTTTTCATTTCAGAATGTTGGCAGCTCTGCATATTCAATGTATTTGTTTTGTTTCCTTTTTGTGCACACGCCAAGGTTTACCTGTAACTCTCCATTCTGTTTGTTTTAACTGTCCATTCTTTTTGAAAAAACTGTCCATTCTTAAAAAGAATGGACAGTTTTCCAAAAATAATGGACACCTACAGGTGACTTAATGGATTGTTAGGGGAGTTAGCTCAACATTATGCTAGAGAATGGACAACACAAACAAAAGGTTTACGTCACAATCATGTTTTAAAATAGAATGTAGCTCCTCAAAATCAGTTTATATTTTGCGTTGTAAAGGTAAACATGTTTCCCTCCGATGGAGAGAATATATGCCAGAATCGAAATCGAAATCGAATTGAAACCAAAAGATGCACACAACCAGCGATACTTTGACCTGGAAACTGAGAATAGTAAGCCTAAAAGAAAATATTATCCAAACTTTGATCCCCTCAAAACTTCGACGACAAATACAGATATTTCGAATTCAAACCGGAAATGTGTTTTTT